TGTTGCCCATTAGTGGAGACCCATGGAGGGCAGGCTAGGCACTCTGCTGATGGACCTCTGTGCGTGTCTTGTCTGCCTTGCTTCTGGCTTTGGGGCAGGAAGTACTGATCTGTAGGGAAACCCTAGTGGCAGCAAAGGGTGCAGAGGGGCATTCTGCCAAGCTGCTCTCAGCACCCCTGGCTGCCCAGCTCTGGCCAGACTGGTTAACCTGAGGGTGCCAAGGAAGATTTGGGGTGGCCACAGCCCCGATCTCAGTAGTGTTGAGACACATACATGGGTGCCCAGGACCGGGCATTCTGCCCTTCACCTGGCAGATGTAGGTGGAGTTTCCAGACCTGCTCATGGGCCATGCAGTGGGTACGGGCTGTGAGCCCCGAGTATCCCACCACAGGGACTTTGGTGGGAGGTCGTTCTGGGGTGGGTGGTGGGGGGCGTTTGCTGGAGATGCCCACTGCCTTCCTACAGCCTCCATGTCTCCCCAGGACGGTCTCCAGGACACTTCAGACATCCCCATCTCTCAGGGAGATCTCTGCCCCTGAGCTGTATCTTGAGCCACTGGGACCAAGCAGTAGTTGGAGTTTTTGGTGGTTCCTGTTTCGGCTTGTTGGGTTTTCCCCAGGCCCGGCCCAAGAGGCCTGGCAGAGTAGGGGTGAGTCCCAGAGCAGGACCTGCAGCTCTGAAGGAAGCTCCAGACTCTGCTGCATTTCCCTTCCCCTGTAGAGAAAGGAAGTGAGGAGGGGCTCATGGGCTGGGGTGCAGGAAGGGAAGGGAGCTGCTGCCTCCCTGCTCCTGGCCTCCCTGGGGCTAGTGGGCTGGGCAGGAGTGGGGAAACTGGAGGGCCTGGGCCCTCCTTGCTCACCTGGTGTGTACCAAGTGAGGCAGTCGGCCTGGCTGCAGAGCAGCCTTGCTGCTGCCTGGGATGGAGTTTTGGTATCTGAGTTCTTGCCAGGTCCCTGCACTTGAATAAGGATCAGTGCCAGAGCTGCTTTAAGTTTGAGTTTGTCTTCCTCTTCTACTCCCATCTCCACCATTTTAGGAGGTGGTTTGTCTGCCTGCCTGCCTTCTTACCTACCCCTCTCCTCCAGGGACAGTGGTGTTTAGACTGCCTCCTAGTCTAAGGGGAAACTAGAGCGGGATCCAAGAAGGGGTGAGGGTTATTTTGCTGTCAGAATATTGAGAAACAGTTGCTGAAGCAGGGGTGGAGACAGACAACACAGTAAAACAAGAGGTAGGTCTTGCGTGTCAGAGCATCACACGTGTTCTTGAAAGTTTGTGTGTATTTTATGCATTTGAAAGGCAGAAAGAGAAACAGACATGGGTATAAATCTTCTATCTGCTGTTTTGCTCTCCAAGTGCCCACAGCAGCCAGGACTGCACCAGGTCAAAACCTGGCGTGGGAAATATGATCGGGGTCTGCCTCATGAATGGCAGGGACCCAAGTTCTTACATTGTCGCCTGCTGCCTCCCAGAGTGCACGTTACCAGGAACTTGACAGCAGAACCAAGACTTGAACCCAGCATTCGGATATGAGTGGCCCAAACTGTGCTTAACCACCGTGCCCAGTGCCTGCTCTGGAGGGAGCTATGAGGATCACCCACAGTGTCCCAGACATAAACCATTTCTCATTTAATCCTCATAAAACCCTGTGAAGCAGGGAGATTATCTTGAGCTGAGGGATGAGTTTGCCAAGGCCAGTGACTAGAAAACCCCCTGTTCCCCAGTCGGCGCCCCGTCCTGGTCAGCGGCTCCCTCCTGCTCCCCAGTCGGCACCCTGTCCTGGTCAGCGGCTCCCTCCTGTTCCCCAGTCAGCACCCTGTCCTGGTCAACGGCTCCCTCCTGCTCCCCAGTTGGTGCCCTGTCCACTCCTGGCCAGTGGCTGGCTCCCTCTGCTCCCCAGTTGGCACTCTGTCTACTCCTGGTCAGTGGCTGGCTCCCTCCTACTCCCCAGTTGGTGTCCTGTCCACTCCTGGTCAGTGGCTGGCTCCCTCCTGCTCCCCAGTTGGTGCCCTGTCCACTCCTGGTCAATGGCTGGCTCCCTCCTGCTCCCCAGCTGGCACCCTGTCCACTCCTGGACAGTGGCTGGCTCTCTCCTGCTCCCCAGTTGGCGCCCTGTCCGCTCCTGGTCAGCAGCTCCCTCGTGGTCAAAGTTTTCAACAGGGAGGTTGCAAGGACCTAGTTCAGATCTGCCTCCCGAGCCATGGTCTTGCACGGCCACTAAAGGAAATGTCAGGGAGACAGACCTTCCCTGAGACCAGAACTATGTCAACTGTGCTCCCTGGCTGTTCCCAAAACTTCTGAAGGGCAGGGCAGCCTCCTCCATATATTGGAGCCCTTTGGACACAGTGCATATTGTGGGCTGCAGGCTGGAGCCAAGCTGTGGGCCCACCCCCTTGAGGGTGGCTCCCCTCCTAGTGAGAAGCCAGAGGCTGGGGCATTCCCCTGCAGCCCTGGAGCATGGGGAAGGCTGTGGCCACTGTGCCTGTCCTCGGTGTCACTACAGCTCCAGAGTAGCCTCTCCCTGCTTGCTGGTGATCTCTGTGTCATAGGGCTTTAGTGCCAGGCTCCCACGGGAGGTGGCTTTGCAGCCCAAAGGAGACCAGCTGCTTCCCAGCAGCTCACCTGGCTGGTGGTGTGCAGCCACAGCAGCTGCTGGCAGTGGGTGGATGTGAGAGGAAGTCAGGGCAGGCTGGTGCTCACGTCCTCCTGATGGCAACAGGCTGCCGCCTCCCCCATCTGCCGCTGTCTTCCAGAGCAGATACAAGAAAGCTATTTTAACAACACAGGCTTGGGAACAAAGATCAAGTGACAGGGATGTGCTCAGAACTCGGACAGAGCCTGGGGATGTTTCACCCCCTTCTGGCTTGAACTCAGCAGCAGCAGGGGCCTGGCTCCAGTTAGGTTGCAGCCCTGCTCTGGGCCTGTGTTGGGCTGTTGGGCCTATTTGGTTAAGGCCTCCTACTCCCAGGGCACACAGACATGCTGGGCTGGTGCTTTGCAGAGTAGTTCCAGAGTGAGCGATCCAGCCTCATGTGTGCTCATCCTGCTGTTGGTGACAGGCAGGAAGGACACCCTCCCTTCTACCCTCTGAAATTTGAGTTGGATTCACCCATGAGAGAAGTTTGATTGCCATGTGGTCTCACTCATTCTTGACGCACCTCACCGGCATTGTAACCCTGATTGTAGCCAGGTAGATGGGCCCAACACTTGGGTCTAGGAACTCTTCGCCAAAGGTTTACCAGCTGCTCACTGTACAGTAGGTGCTTGTCAGGACTCGAAAGCTGTAAGAAGAAACCGCCCTTCAGCTGGCTTGATACATGTCACGTATGTCCTAAATGAGAAAACGTGACAGAAGTAAATGATGTTGAAAGGTTTTTCTCTTGGATCTTTAGAAAGCAAGTCCCTCCCAGGAGTCTTGTGGAATAATATAGGGCCTGGACCTATGTGATTTGTGTCTCTGGGGATGATGATGCCACGGCATGGTGGCGTGTTTGGGCACTAGAGCTGGTCTTGGAGCAGTAGGTAGAGGAGAGCATGAGATGAAGGCCCTCCAGGTGACTGACAGCGTGCTGGGGGAGCAGTCAGTTGGGTGTCAGTCAAGCATGTATGCGTGACACAGCAGTTGGCAGCAGGTGGGGGTGGTGGGCAGGGAGAGGAGATGCGTACAGCAAACAGACCACCCTGACAGGTGGTGGACCACCCTGACAGGTGGATCCAATGGAGAGGAGTGGGTGTGGCATGTGTGGGGCCGGGCCACCTCTAATGCCTTGGGGTGTATTCACACTCACACTGTTTTGTGTACTTGGCATATGGTTAGTAGACAGAACAAAATCTGACCTGGTAGTATCCAACACTAGAGTGTGTTACCAAAGGCCCAGACACTTTGCTATGTCTTCATTTAGTGGGAAGGTATTTCATAAAGTCCTCAGATTTTATAAATGTTTCTTTAGAAAATGAGAACAGTATCTTTATGCTAATGTTCTTCTCAGTCACGCATCGCCTGCTGTGAGGCGGTGGGCTTATTAAGATACAGCAGGTGACTTGGGCAGTACCTTGTCTCGCGGCAGGGAGGGCGACCATCCCAAGAACTGCATCCTTACAGGCCCATCCGCTGAGCCATGTGGCTTCCACAACAGACCTCAACAAGTCCATGGAAAACGGAATTACAAGATGAGGGCATGTGTGTGTGCACGTGCAACATTTTACGAGTCCATACATACATAGGCTCTTCCAAAAGTTTGTGGAAAATGCATTGTTATGGAGTCCAGCACTGATGCAGCAGCTGAAGGTGCCACCTGCATACAAGCTGTGTACCTGCTGCCAGCCCGTGTCAGCATGCTAGCTCGAGACCTGGATACCCAGCTTCTGATCTGGCTCTGCTGATGCACCCTGGAAAGCCGCAGAGGCTGGGCCAGCCTCTTGGGAGACCAGGAAGGAGTTCCTGGTTCCTGTGTTTGACCTGGCCGTTGACCCTTGCCATTTGACCATTGCCATTGCAGCCATTTGGTGAGTGAACCAGCAGATAGAAGATTTATTTTTTCTCAGTCCCTCTGCCTTTTAAGTAAATTAAAAAAAAAAAAAAAACAACACACACACGAAAAAGCTTATTATGAAAACACCACAGGGATTTCCAAGTTTTCTGTACCAAAATATTTTCGTTTCATTTTCTATAGCTTTTTGAAGTACTTTCATATATGTATGCACAGAGTTACGTGGAATAGCTTTGTGGCCTGTTACATACACTTCCTTGAAGTGAATTCTGCTATCTGGCCTGTTTTAATCTGCTAGTTTCCATTTAAGATGACGTTAATCTTGGCTCACTAACTTGATTCCACCACCTCTGATTTAGAAGGCATTGCTCAATCAAACTCAAATCCATAGAATGGGACAACAGGAGGACTGAGCTCTTGTCTGTGACAGTGTCAGGGTGGGGCCTGAAGCCCGTGGTGGCACTCCCCAGGTAGGGGGGTTTCAGCCCCATTGACTTGGCTTCTCTCCTGCAGAGCTCCATGAACCTGCCCCCTGACAAGGCGCGGCTTCTGCGGCAGTACGACAACGAGAAGAAGTGGGATCTCATCTGTGACCAGGTATGGGAGCAGGGAGGTGGGTGGACAAAGCAGCAGGGTCAGTGGCACTGAGGGCAGCCCTGGGTGCCTCAGTGCGTGCTCACTTCTGTCGCAGGGAGACTCTTTGGTGGTCGCATCCCCCTCCGTCTCACTGGATTTGTTCCAGTGGTGGTAGTGCAAAGGTGGTTTGTATTGGTCTGGGGTGCAGGGCTGGCCATGGAGCATTTGGGGGCTTTCCCAGCAGAGCCTGCTTTCTGTCTTGTCCAGGGTTTGGGCTGTGCCCAGCAGGGTACCCCAGGGGACTACTCCTGTCACTTTTCCCAGAGCTGGCAAAGTGAAAAGCCTCTGTCCCTTGGGCTCCTGTTGGCAGACCTGGGAACAGTCAGGGGCGTGAATTGATAGATGCTGCATACAACCGGAAGAGAACTGAAATCATGGCTTTGCTCTGAACCAGAATCTTCTAACACTACTGATCTGGCTTTTTCCCTTGCATGCATTTGAAGAAGACAAGTCATGAGCCTGTCTGCAGGGCCAGGAGTGTTGGCTCTTCCTTCCAGGTCTCTCATCAGTGTGGAAGTGCCTAGCCCAGAATGTGGGCAGTGTAGTCCACAGCCCTCACTTTCAGATCCTTATGTTGTCCTCCAGACCTCCAGTGCCCACTGAGCTCCTTCAGGTGTCTCGGTTGTGTTGGCCTGTGGATGACCAGAATGCTGAAGTTTTCATCAGAGGAGGGCAGGCGGGGCCAAGGAAGAGAGGCCAGCCCTGCGCCCTGGGTAGAGGGAGCAAGGGATGACTTTACTGAGAGAAGCCTGAGTATTTGGCTTGCTCCGGGTTGGGGCATGCTCAGGGTTGGGGCATGGGCTCAGGTGTTTACCGGCCTGTGCTGTGTCCACACCATGAAGTCAGGACAGCTTGTGTGGCAGCATCTGGAGCTGAGGTGGCTGACTTCCAGGAGGCCAGGTGCCCTTCCCTGGGCCTTCCTAACCCCTTTCGTCCATTGGCCAGGCACAAAATGACGTTTTCCCAGTCATATATTTATCTTGGCTACTGTTCATGACTGTAGTCCCTTTGACATAGGAAAACATCTCAAACTAGGAGCACTAACTGGAGGAAGAGAGGGCCAAAAAGTTGGAGATCCCCCAGTAGAAGTCAGGAAGGGACCCCCAGGGGCAGGCTGTGCTAAGGGCGGGGACAGCATCAGGAGGCGGAGTCCCCTCACGCTGAACACCGTGTTAATAGGAATCCCACAGTCCCAGCTGCAGTGCAGTGGGAGTTTGAGGTTATGCGAGGTCACTTGTTTGGGGTGCTGTGCCACACTCACAGTTCTGAGAACGGACCCCTGCTCCGCTGTGCCCTCCTCAGACTTAGGTGCCTGTGTGTCACTTAAGCTTGTTGTCTCCCCCTGCCCTCTCCCAGGAACGGTTCCAGGTTAAGAATCCTCCCCACACGTACATCCAGAAACTCCAGAGCTTCCTGGACCCCAATGTCACCCGGAAGGTGAAGTATGGGCCAGCGAGGCCCCTTTGCCTGGGGGCTGGGCGGCAGCTGCAGAGAAAGGAGGGTGTGTTTCTGGGCTCTGAGAGCAGGGCCTGGGGTGGCCAGGATGGAAGGGAGACTCTTCCCACCCTCTCGTGTCCTCCTGTCGTCCCCCTGACCCCTTGGATTTGCAATGGGAAGTTGGATTGGGCGCCCATCAATGACAGTGGACCTCCCCGTTTACAGAAGTTCAGGAGGAGAGTGCAGGAGTCGACCAAAGTGCTGAGGGAGCTGGAGATCTCGCTCCGTACCAACCACATCGGGTGAGTGGATCTGGCTGGGCTCGCAGGACCACAGAACTTCAGGCTGTTCCACTTACAGCTTTTCTTCCCTTGGCTCTGCCAGCTGCTGATGCCTCTGGCAAGCCTGGGGCCTCTCCTGGGGTCCTCAGCCTGTGGCTTGGAGTGGAAGACATTCCCCAGCAGCCGAGCCGGGAGTCTGCCTGTGGTCTGGTGCTGGGCCAGGCGAGGCTCAGAGGAGGCTGGGATGGGGTAGGGGTGGGTGACAGCGACCCGGTTCCTGCTCAGGCTCTGATTGGATTTCTTGTTGTCTCAACTGTTTGCCCATTTGAGAGGAAACAATATTCATGGGTGATAGAAGGCAAGAGAGAAGACTTCAGGCAGTGGGGTTGACCGTCTTCTGTCTTTACCTACTGATACTACTGACTCAGTGGCCAGCTCCCCTTGGGGCTGCCTGGGTCTGTTCTGCAGTCTCTGAGTGAGGAACCGGAAATTGCAGAAGAGGCAGAGATGGTGAGTGCCCGAGCGCAGTGAGACAGAGCAGTGGCCTCTGTTCTGTGAAGCTGTACCAGCAAGGGAACCAGTAGAGCCCAACCTGGCAGAAAGGACCGTGAAGGCACAAACCTTGCCTGGCACAGATGTGAGCACTGGGCCTGGGTAGAGATGGCCTGGCTGGGCAGATGCCTGCCCAGGTACCTGAGAGTAGGGTGGAAAGAACTAGCTGACATCATCAGCTTCTCCCGCTTGCCCACCACAGGCCTTGTCTGACCTTGTCCCCCAGAGGGGGACACATGTAAGTGGCCAGCCACAGGAGCAATGGCAAGGGAAGTGCATTGCACAGGAGAGGACAGGAAAGGTTTGGTTCCTGGCCTCACCAGCTGTGCTCTGGGGGCCAGAGAGTGGTTCCCAGATGTCATCTGTAAGCCAGATGCCATAGGTCACGCCGCTGGGACAGATGTGGCCAGGCCTCCACCTTTATTGGGTGACTCCTTTGTGGAAGGGAAAGCCAGCAGGTCCTGGGTGTGCACAGGCATGAGTGACCTAGACGGCAGCTCCAAGTGCTGCCTGCTTCTGTGCGTCACTCCACGCGCCCTGCCTCCCTTCTAGCTTCTCTTGTGAGTCCCACTGTGGTTGGAGTGAGAAAGGGGTCTGCCAATAGCAAAACTACAAAGACATATGGGGGGAATCAGGAGTGATCCTGAAGACTCCCAGATCCTCACCAAGGACTATCAGTACGAGCACCGAGGACTACATCCCAGCTGCCAGGGAATTGGAGTGCCTTCAGAGGCCAAGAACCCTGAGGTCACCCACCCCCATCTGGATCTACCACATGGGATGGAAGAAGCCCAAATCCTGCCTTGCAGGATCCAAGGTCATCGGATCGATAACCAGGAGCACTGAGCGGTCCGCAGAAACAGAAGAACAGTAAACTTCCTTCGGGACTAGGGAGAGGAGCTTTTTCTGGTCCTTGCCTGGTTCCGACTTTGGGTCCCCACCTTCACTGGCAATGACCATCAGGATCGCTCTGGAAACCCCTCAAAACTAACAAACAAACAAATAAACAAAAAAAGCTAGAACAGAGAACAACAAGGAAAGCTTAGAAATAGACAGGAAACGGTTAGCGGGATGCACTTATAACTCACTGGGTGGGACACAAAGATTAGTTACTCCTCACTAGGGTATTGAAGATTTCTCTGCACACCCCTCCTAAAACTGTTCACCTAAACTGTTGACATATGTCTTGTTAGAGTTATACAGTTAGACTACCCGAAAAACAGCCAGGTTCAGCAAAATCATGCTTCAACACTATAAACTGCTAAATACTAAAATTAAAATAGGCATGAGACAGCTGAATAGTAATCTATAGCCATTTTAAGGTGTATAGAACCCAGTAGTATATAAACTAATAATTGAAATGTCAATATAGAAGTCACAGAAAAAAAAAGGGTCTGCTCTTAGGAGAGGGCCACAGAGCTGTGTGTGACCCCTCAGCTGCCAGCCTACCTGGTGCCTGCCCCTCTGGCTGCTGGCCAGGAGCTGAGGCCTGGCACAGCATGTTTCCCAGGCCTCGGGGATCTTGCTAGTTGGCACATGAGTTAGAGGTCTGGACCCCATCCTTGGTTCCCAGGGCAGAGCTTCATGCCTGACATTTTAGGAACCCCTGCCATCTGAGTGGAGGCTTCTCCGGGTGGCAGTGTGGGAGGGCCAGGATCTTTCCTGGGCCAGCAGGAGTCCAGCAGGCTGGCGTGTGGTGGCTTCGGCGTGGACTGAGTCCAGGGCAAGCAAGGAAGTGAAGGATACCACTCTGTTGCCAGCTCAGTCGCCCCCCGGCTCCAGAGTCAGCGGGATGGAAAGTGGGATTCCAGAGCCTGTGCAACTCCTCCTCTCCCCTGGGCTGTGCTGGTTTTTCTGCCTTGCCTGACTGCCCTTTCACCTCTGTGCAAAGTGTCAAGATCCCGAAAATAGCAGTGTAGACTCAGACAGGAAATGAGAAGGGGGCGGGGAGCTGGAGAGCAGACAGACAGGAAACGGGAGGCCTGTCGGGCCCTAGAGAGGAAGCTAACTTGAGGCAGCTCCGGTGTCGGCGTCAACCAGAGCCTGTTGCCAAATCTCAGCCGGCTTGGTGCCCTGCTCTCAGCCTCCTCCGTAGCTCTGGGTGCGGTCGGCCAACACGGTGCTGGTGCTCCAGCCCTGGGGACAAGTGGCCCGAGAGGGATACCTCTTGGTTATGCCACAGACTCCCAGTTGTCTTGCAAGGGTGGAGCACTCGACAGATTGGGGAGTTCTCTTCCTGAGGGCCTTGGGATGAACCTGCCATCCCTCCCACACCCGCCAGACTTTGATTCCAGGGTCAGCTCAGCCTCCAAGGACTAATGGCAGAGTGAAGATGTCCTCAGACCCGTCCACTTGCCAGCCTTCCTGGCTGAGTGGCCGCCGAGTTCCTGATGGTCCCCAGCCTTTCCATGTTCTGCAGGACACTTGGTGCTGACTGCACATGGCACACCCACATACCCTTTCTGCCCACTGGACTGTGTAGAGCTCCTTGCCTGCCTGATGTACCCTTGTCCCAGACACCTCTCCTTGGCCGAGATGGCCTTTATGGCACCCTGTCAGGCACAACCCTGGACTCAGTCTGTGATCAGAGCTCTGAGCACCTCTCCAGGTTTTTTAGCAAATGTGAGCAAGCACAACATACCCAACTCCTGTTATTTAAGGCACATAGGAAGTGGTTGAGCCGGGGCCCTGTCGTTGCCCCCAGCAGTTGGAAGCTCTTCTGTGATGAAGCTGGTGGGACTGGAAAAGCCTTTCCTTTCCACATCCCTGGCTCTCCTGCCCCAGGGATGTCCAGACCAGTGATCTGACCACAGATGTGTCATTTTAAAGAAAACATGTATTTTCATTTTATTTGAGTCACTTCCCAAATGATCACATAGCTGGGGCTGGGCCAAACTGAAGCCAGGTGCTCAGAATTCAGTCCAGGACTTCCCAGAGGGTGATGGGGACTGAGCCCTCATCTGCGGCCCCCCAGGGTGTGCATTAGCAGGAAGCTGGATTAGAAGTGGAGAAGTCGGGACTCTACCCTCACTTGCAGATGTGGGTTGTGGCACCACGCATCCACATCATGGGTTTTCATTTTGAGAGTCTTTCCAGCTTGGTTCTAGGTTCTGGAACCTTAGCAGAGACCCTCATGCTTTGTCTGCAGGTGGGTTCGGGAGTTTCTGAATGATGACAACAAAGGCTTGGATGTGCTGGTGGATTACCTGTCCTTTGCCCAGTGTTCTGTCATGTGAGTACCCTCCCCCTCAAGGCTAAGCTTCGGGGCTGTTGGGGAGTATACTGTCCGGCTGGGATTCCGACAGTGAAGACACACATGGGAATCCCAGCCCAGGAAGAAGTGGCTCAGATACTGGGTGGAAGTGGAGGGGTGGGTCAGCGAGGAGGCCAGGTGGTTGGAGCCGGTGGTGCGTTCTGACACTTAGGAGGAGGGAGACACTAAGGGGCAGCTGGGACTCAGGACCCAGAAGATCCGTGTGCCTGCACCCAAGCTGCCCAAGGGAACAGCTGATACCTGCCCATACTCTGATGGGAGTAGGTTCCTCCAGGGCATTGCTGAAGAACCCAACAGTAAGCGTGACCTTTGACCTGGGCAGAAAAGGGGAGCATTCCACAGTCCTTTTCAGATTGGCTGTGGTGAGAGTACGGGATGGAGGGTGCAGTACAGTGTGAACTGGTATGTGCGGGCAAGGGGGTCGTGCAGAGTTGGGTTTGGGTCTTGGCTCTGTTGTTTGCCATCTACATGGCTCCAGCAAGCTTGTGTCCACTTCTGGGCTGGTTGGCATCGGGAACTCAGCAGGTCTGTGTGTAGGGAACAGGCTGTGCTGGTGCAGGAGGAACATCAGAGGGCTGCACTGTGGTGATAGTGGCTACTTTCTGGCTGGCTGTATTGCCATTCAGATGGCTGTCCGTGGCCTTCTCCACCTGAGTGTCTGGGAGGAAGTTACGGTGGTGACAGGCCTGGTGGTGAGCGCACTTGGACCCAGGCCCTTCAGAATTCAGCCCATGAGAGACCTAGCTTCCCCTTTTGCCCATGACCTTCACCAGTTTTCCCTACATCCTGGGAAATCCCTCTACTCTGGACCTTGGCCCCAGCCCAGCCTTGGGCTTTTCATCCTTGTCTCCTGGTCAGCTTTTGAATAGCAGGTCTTTGGTCTCACCTCCTTAGGGGTTTGAACGAGTGCCTTTGGGACAGCTACACCCCTGTATCCTTGCACACCACACCTCGCGGTCCTCCCATTCCTTTAAAAACAACCACTCTTTTTATAGAAAGAAATGAAAAACATTTGCTGAAGTAAGTTTTTTTTTTCTAAGTTCAAGGCTTTTTTAGTAAAAAGATGTAGATCTTTTTTCCCAAATAAGCCTATCTTCGTTGAAAAGCACACAGATTCCAGCTGCTCTAGACCCAGAGTTCACCGGAACCTCAGTGCTGTGGTGTCCATTGCAGTGTTTTTGGCTTAGAGAGAGTCTGGGTCGAGTGGAAGAGAAAGTGTCGTAAGGAAGTATGAGAGAAGGGTGGGGCCAAGCAGAGTTCAGGTGTTGGCATTAATCTGCCAGCTGCCCATCAGTAAGCCAGGGTGTATTCCAGTGATGAGGAAGCCACCAGAGCCCTACGGGCAGCTCTCGTGCCAAGGGGGTCCCTGTGATGACAGTTCCTGGTCATCAGGACCCTATAGCCTGCTCTGCTCCCCTGGGAACCTTAAGGCCTTGGAGATGTGCTCCCCCCTCCCCGTGTGCATCTGAGCAGGGAGCTGTCTGTGGGAGGAGGGAGAGCCGGTAGGAAGTGCCACCTCAGTCCCTGGAGACCCACAAGGGGAAGCAGAGCGGGGCTTTCTGTGGGCTTGCCTTGGCCGTATTCGCAGGCTGAAGTGGGTGAGAGGCATGGGTCCCGGAAGCAGGAAGTGACACGCAGAGAAATCAGTATAATCTCAGCCTGTGGTTTCTGCCACAGACCCAGGAGCCTCAAGTAGCCATCGCCATCGAGTCCATTAATGCCCAGTCCTGGGCGGGGTGGTGGTTGCCTCCCACAGACCCAGTCTTCCCACTCTGGGCTTCCCATTTCCTCCCGTGCAGGCCTGTCGGCTCTAGAGCCAGCCACAGGCAGGTTCCCTCAGGGCCCTGCTGCCCTTTGCCAGCTCCAAGGATCTACAGTTGGCTTCTTGCCCACTGCACACTCTCCAGGGCAGATTCTCTGTGGGAGCCACCACTCCTGAGCTCCCTGTACCCCTGGGAACCCAAGGGGAGGCCCCTCTTGCTGGAGTCGCCTGGCTGACAGAGAACAAAGGGGCTGGTCTCCCACCCTGGTGGTGCTGTGTGCCCTCTGCCCTGTCCTGTGGGGGTGGCTCGCCTACCCAGTGCTGGGTCTGTGCCCAGTTCTACCTTTTGCTCTCGCTACCCTTGCTTCTTGTTGCCAAAAGTCCCAAAAGGTGGAGGCAGCCTCGCTGGGGGCCTTGGCTCACGTGTCCTGCCTCTCTGTCCGTGTGTGCGCACGTGTGTCCTTTCGTGCTCCAGGTTTGACTTTGAGGGTCTGGAGAGTGCTGACGACGGCGCATTTGACAAGCTCCGGTCCTGGAGCAGGTCCATCGAGGACCTGCAGCCGCCCAGCGCCCTGTCGGCCCCCTTCACCAACAGCCTCGCTCGCTCTGCGCGCCAGTCTGTGCTCCGGTATGTGCGCTGCTCTGCCCGCCGCCTCCCGCCCTCGCCCGTGCCGGGCTCGGCCACAGCGTGAGTGCTCAGGCGCCTCCTTCCACCCTTGCTTCCAGGCTCAGCTCTTTTGCCCTCTGCCTGCTGGTCTGTCTCTGGTCTGTCTCTCTGTCTCCTTGACTCTGCCCAGCAGTCTGTTTGGGGTAAGTACACGGCCGTCGGCTGTGCCCACCCCGCCTGGGGCTCCAGCTCTCCCCTCTTCATCCCCTCTTGGGGGGCCTCACTGTCACTGTGCCCTTCCTTCGGGGCCTCTCAGGCGGATGTGTCTCCCACAGGAGCTTGGTCTTCCGGGGCTGACTGGCTACTTCCCTGCCATCTGCTTCCCTCTGGCTCTTCTCTTGTACATCAGCTGCCCAGAGGCCAGCCCCCAGCCCGCCTGCCCGCCCTGCCCTTCATTCCTTCCTCCAGGCATTTTCTCTCCAGGGCTGTATATCTGGAGGCAGGCAGACTGGATGCCTTCTCCAAGCCCCTTCTTCCTGGAGGGCCTGCCTCCCCTTGGGTTTTGGTCCTCCAGCACCGCTGTCCATCTGCCTGTGGAGGCAGATTTGACCTGTGCTTTCCTGGTTTTTCATGGGGCATCAGGAGGCTGCATGATGGGGCTTGCAGAGCCATTGTCCCTGACTCTCCTGCACCTTTGGGGACCTGCTCTGCCTTTTGGGGACAAAAAATGGGGTGAGCACTGTTGGGTGCTTCTACCCCACAAACCATACAGAAGACACAGTAGCTGGAGGTGGGCAGAGGGTCATCATGGCTGAGCATCCATGAGGATATGGAGGGCTCCACAGCCCCTGGGTTAGTGTGGCTTGGGGCCTGTGTATGGCTGCCCACAGGGACCCATTGCAAGGAGGAGCAGACAGGCTGACCAGCTGCCTCCTGTAGGGTCTCCCTGGGTTCCTCCCTATTCACTGTGGCTGCCACGGGGCAGCTTGTTGTCTGGGTGATGCCGAGAGCTCCTCAGCTGCCCCCTGACAGCCACCTCTCTCCCTCCAGCTACAGCACCCTTCCTGGGCGCAGGGCCCTGAAGAACTCGCGCCTGGTGAGCCAGAAGGATGATGTCCATGTCTGCATCCTCTGCCTCAGAGCCATCATGAACTATCAGGTTCGGGGGGCAGCGCTGGGCACGGGGGCTCTGCCGCCTCTGCAGGGGCCTCCCACCAGGAGACGTACAGGACTCCCTTTCAGACCCGCTGCTTTCCCTTGCAGTATGGATTCAATCTGGTCATGTCCCACCCCCATGCGGTCAACGAGATTGCCCTCAGCCTCAACAACAAGAACCCACGGTGAGCGCTTCCATCTCATTCTGCCAGCATCCTGGAGGACTGGGCACTGCTCGTGCCTTAGGGTCCTGCAGCCTGGGGGGACAGCCTGGGGGGGACAGCCTTGGTGACGTGTCCCTGGCTTCCTCAAGCTCTACGCAGCTAAGAGAGGAAGCAGACCCTGCCACCCCTGCCACCCCTGCCTCCTTTCTGAAACCCACCCTCTCCCATCACCACAAAGCCCTGTGGAAGGACTAACTCAGCCGTGGCTATGAGCGTGTGGTGTCTCAACGGGGAGCCAACCAGGGGTAACTCTTCTGTCTCCCCTTAGGACCAAAGCCCTTGTCTTGGAGCTCCTGGCAGCCGTGTGCCTGGTGCGGGGAGGTCACGAAATCATCCTTGCTGCCTTCGACAATTTCAAAGAGGTCAGTCCCCTGCCTTTGGGTATGGCAGTGTAAGTGTATTGCAAGGCAGGCAGGCAGGCAGGCAAAGCAGTTCCTGTGCACCCTGAGGCTGTAACATCCCAGTGTTTGAGCAGCCTGCCTGGTCTACTCACCTGCCTCCCAGGCTTCCACCTTTTTCTGGAGGGGATGCAGTAAGCCAAAACCAGCACCTCAGTCTTACTAGATCTTAGGACAAGGTAGGCTGGGTGAGTTGTCCTGCCCTGACCATGCAGCAGAGCCACCTAGGAGCCATGAGGAGTGCAGACCTGCAGAAGGCCTGGGGCCTGCACTTCTTGCAGCTTTCCATGTGGTTCTGAGCCACCTCGAGCACCCCCAGGCTGCTGGGGCTGTGCAAGGCAGTCTCCTGGGTGGCCCGCTGTGCTGGGAGGGCCTTGGGAGTCCCCAGCCTCCTGCCCAACTCGGACACCCTATCTTCTGGGACATGGAGTTTCTCGACATCCAGCCACAGCTGCTGTCCCACCCCTTCCTCCTCTCTGGACCTCTTCCCTAGCATCCATTGTTCAAGCCAGGAAACAGCTCTTCCTCCTGCAGCCCAGAGGTTCAGAGGAGCCTCTGGACCGCTCAGCCGAGGACTTCCCTGCACGCCAGCCCCTCCCCTGCCTCCTCACCAGGACTCGGCCTCCAGCCTCCTCTGCAGCCTTGCTGCCTGTCTCCTGTCTCCTTCCTCATTCCCTGGGATCTCGGCAGCACCACCACCCTCCCGCCCCCCCCCCCCCCCCCCCCGCCAAAGGACCAGGCTTTCCTCAGCCCCCTCAGCCAGGTCCAAATTCAGAGTCCCAGGATGGCCCATTTCCTTGATACAGCTGTGGTTCAGCTGGATCCGAATCAGTCCCTTTGCCACAATGCTCCAGGCAGCCAGGTCCTGGGGCTTGGGTTCCATGTGGAACAGTTTCTTTCACTGAGAACATTTGCCTGTCCAGGTGTGCAAGGAGATGCACCGTTTCGAGAAGCTGATGGAGTATTTCCGGAATGAGGACAGCAATATTGACTTCATGGTGAGGAACTGGCCTAGGTCAGGCTAGGAGGGAGTGGAGCCAGGCCCACAGTGTGGTTTTGTCATTGTTGTTTGTTTGTCTGTTTACTTATAGGAAAATCAATTACAAAGAAGGGAGGATCTTTATCTGCAGGTTCATTCCCCAGTTGGCTAAAATGGCTAGGATTGGCCTAGGTCAAAACCAGGAGACGGGAGCTGCATCCAGGTCTCCCATGTGGGTGCAGGAGCCCAAACACTTGGGCCATGTTTTGCTACTTTCTCAGGCGGATTAGCAGAGAGCTAGATTGGAAGTGGAGCAACCAGCACATGCATTGGCACCTCTATGGGATGCTGAGGCAGCAGCTTTACCTGCTGTGTTACAGCACCATGAGGTGTTTTAGTAGTTTGGGTAGAGCCAGAAATGATTCTGCCCATTCAGCAAATGCTGCTTGTCTGCTTGTGCACCAGAGAGCGCTTAAAGCTCAGGCCGGTGCCCTGGGTGTGCCTTAGGGCTCCGGCGCTTTTTTCCAATCTGTGCTGGATTTGGTTTTTGTCCCAGCCCCTTCCTCTAACTCTTCTGCCCTTCAGGACAGGCTCGCCAGCTAGGCCAGGTTGTCCCCCAAAAACCTGCTGACGAGCCAGGGGAACTCAGTCGGAGAGCCATATCTTTGCGTGCATGTTTTCCCTGTGATTGGCTTGTTTTTGTACCGATCTCAGCTCCTCCTGTTTTCCCGTCGTGTTAATCCAGTTGTGATGGTGGTGTCCTCACACCACCCCATCCTGTGTCTCTGCCTGTGCCCCCCCAGGTGGCCTGCATGCAGTTCATCAATATCGTCGTGCACTCTGTAGAGGACATGAACTTCCGGGTCCACCTGCAGTACGAGTTTACCAAGCTGGGGCTGGAGGAGTTCTTGCAGGTGAGCTGGCCAGGTCCCACTGGGGTCCTGGGTGGTCCTTGGAGCGTGCCTGTGACTGCAGCCTGGGCTGTGGGCCCTCCTGCTGGGCTCCCTAGTCCAGCACCTCCTTGGGGTGCAAGGATCTGGCAGGACCAGAGGCAGGAGCGCCCTCAGGAGGGTGATGAGGACTGAGTTTCCCCAGAGGCTTTCTGGGTCCCCTGCCTGCTCCCAACAATCTCACCCCGCTCTGCCCCCAGAAGTCGAGGCACACAGAGAGCGAGAAGCTGCAGGTGCAGATTCAGGCGTACCTGGACAACGTGTTTGATGTAGGTGGATTGCTGGAGGATGCCGAGACCAAGAATGTGGCCCTGGAGAAGGTGGAAGAGCTGGAGGAACATGTCTCCCATGTAGGTGACCCTCCCTAGCTCACATGGGTGCTGTAGAGGTTGGGCCATCCAAGCACTGTAAAAGCCTTGGACTGAATCAGTTGACTCCAGATGGAGCCCCCAGGGAGCTCTTTGAAGCTTGCTCTAACTTGCACCCCTGGAACTTGCACTGAGCTCCCAAACCAGGCATGAGGTGGCTTCAGGTTTGAGAAAGTTGGCATGCCTTGAGCCTGTGGCTGTTTCACAAGGATGTCAGACCCTGGGCACATGGCAGTGATGCAGGGAAGCCTCTGACCAAGTGCCTGGAGGGCCTTCTCAGGGTGCTGAGTGCCTGGGTGCTCAGAACCAGCCCTGAACCTGCGCCTGCTGTCTTGCAGCTCACAGAGAAGCTCCTGGACCTGGAGAATGAGAACATGATGCGGGTGGCGGAGCTGGAGAAGCAGCTGCTGCAGCGGGAGAAGGAGCTCGAGAGCATCAAGGTGCCGCGAGGCTGCTGATGGCCCCTGGCTCTGGCGCCGGGGGGTTTTGCTTTGCTTGCCTGAGTCATGTGCGGTTCTCCAGGATCCTAATCTTGGCGTGCTCATACAGCACACTCAGATGAGGGTGGGCTGATGTGTGTATCCCAGTTTTCATTTGGGGTGGAAAGCTGACACCACAGTGGGGCAGACACACAAGAGGATGGGAGCGGAAGGGCAACCCAAGTGGGCACCTCTAGAGTTCCAGCACAGGTTCCTACCAGCTTGCACCCGCAGGCACTTCTACTCTCTTGAGGTGCCCTGGAGTCCTAATACAGAGCCATCCCCATATTTCAGTGTCTGCCCTGCTCTTTGAACCTGATGCTTGGTTCTGACTCCTCCTCCTAAGTCGGAGATGCTCTCTGTGCTGTGCTCCACATGGATCTGCCCCATCTGCTCAGTGCTGTGCTGTCAGACAGCTCAGCAGGGTCTTGTCCAGGGTGTGGCCAAGTGCGCAGTGTCACAGCGACAGCCTCCTCGCTGGGCCTGGAGGATCCCATGGGGAGAACAGGTGGGGGACTGACCAGTCTCCTGCTCCCCACTTCATTCCATGTCCCAGCCTCTCCTGGCCCTCCTGGGATTCCTCCTCCTCCCAGGCACCCTAGTTGGGAGTTCCTTGGGCCGGAATTGCTGTCAGTTTTTCTATTTTTGAAAGAACATTTTTAATGTAGGTCATATGTTAGCACAGGCCTAATGAACCACTCAGTAGAGTTCAACAAGTAAACAGCAAGAATATAGGTAGGCAGGGGCTAGAAACAATCAATTGAAAGGACTTAACTCATAGATAGTAAACTTTAAAATATTCATGCATCATGGAAACTACAGTGGGACTTTTGCAGGCCTGACCGCTGTGCCTCCAGCGTGCTCTTCCCTGTCTGGCAGGAGACGTACGAGAACACAAGCCACCAGGTGCACACCCTGAGGAGGCTCATTAAAGAGAAGGAGGAAGCCTTCCAGCGCCGATGCCACCTGGAGCCTGGCGCTGGGGGCCTGGAGGGCGTGGGCAGTGAAGCCCTGGCCAGGATAGGGCCTACAGAGATGAATGAAGGCACCCCGGCCTCCGACCTGGACCCACTGGCTCCAGCCCCACCCTCAGAGGATGCCCTGCCCCTGCCTCCACCACCAGCTCCTCCCCTGCCTCCTCCACCTCCCCCTTTACCAGGTAACCAGGGCAACCACTCCAACCCGTTTCATCTCATGGAGACCACAACCCCCATCAGTCAGTGGAGAAGCTGGCCAGAGGATGAGGCTGAAAAAGGGATGAGGGCAGTTGAGGTTGCTAAACAGGGTGCCCCAGGGCCGTGAGGACCACGAAGATGCTGGCTGTCACTCCTTGCAAATGGCCGAGGAGGGGACTTAGACCGACAGGAGAAAACCAGAGCAGAGCTGGGGAGAACTTCCATGAGAACTCACACTGCTGGCTGTGGTCTCCTCCCTAAGTCCTTTTCGGGCAGGTGGGATGGGCAGAGGGGAGGGAGGCTGTGTGTCCCTTGACGCCCAGGTCACGGAGTTGTTCTTTCTTCCCCAGACAAGTGTCCGCCAGCCCCACCCCTTCCTGGCGCTGCTCCCTCTGTGGTGTTGACAGTAGGTCTGTCAGGTGAGTATCCACAGGGCCTTGGGCAGGACTGCTGAGGTCAGGGGAGCGTGTGCTCCACCTGCACCTCACTGGTCCTCCTCCCTGGCCAGCCATTCGCATTAAGAAACCCATCAAGACCAAGTTCCGGCTGCCTGTGTTCAACTGGACGGCACTGAAGCCCAACCAGATCAGCGGCACCGTCTTCAGCGAGCTGGACGATGAGAAGATCCTAGAGGTAACCAGTGGCGGCTTGAGGGGCTGGGGCCCAGGTGGCTGTCACAGGTAGATTTGCTGGCTTTGGGTAGGGGCAGGGCTGGAGCCAGCTGCCTGGACCAAGCTGGACCATGTGATGTGGATGAGGTCCCAGCATGCCCCTTCTCGCCAGGACCTGGACCTTGACAAGTTTGAAGAATTGTTCAAGACGAAAGCCCAGGGCCCTGCCCTGGACCTCATCTGCTCCAAGAGCAAGGCGGCACAGAAAGCTGCCAGCAAGGTGACCCTGCTGGAAGCCAACCGTGCCAAGAACCTGGCCATCACCCTTCGCAAGGCAGGCCGCTCAGCTGAGGAGATCTGCAGGGCCATCCACACGTGAGGCTCCCCCCAACCTGGCCCCGGACCTCCATCAGCAGCCTGGCGGTCTCCTGGGTCCCAGGCTGCTGACAGAACCCTGTGCCGCCTCTCAGCCATCCCCCAGCCTGGCTGGAACGCCCTGCCTCTGGTGTGTAGCAGGCACTGCATGAGGGGCTGGGACTCAGCCAGCCCAGAGCAGCCCACCAGGGCAGCAGCATGACGCTGAGCCTGCTGATCGGGAAAGGCAGAAGTACATTAGTTAGTCCAGGCCAGGCGCGCTGGGTACTGAGGTGGAGGCTGGCTTCAGCAGAGGCAGCTTAAAGGAGTGGGCTGAGTCTTGTAGGCTCTGTGCGTCCTGCGCCATGTGAAAAGTGGGGACAGAGGGAAGACGCTGAAGGGCACCAGGGCCAATGTCATGGTGCCATAAGCTGAGCCACCATTTGGGACGCCAACATCTTCTCCTGGACTGCCTGGTCAGATCCTAGCCACTCGGCTCCCCCTACCCAGCTTCCTGCTGATCTGTCTGGGAGCTGGTGAATGATGGCTCAAGTACTTGGGTTCCTGCCACATGTGTGGGAGTTCTGGATGGAACTCATGGCTTTGGCCCGGCTACTGCAGACATTCGGGAAGTAAACCAGCAGACAGAAATGATCTGTTTCCATCTCTCTGTCACTCCGCTTTTCAGCCAGCTAGCTAGACAGACGATCGGAACAAACAGAAAAACCCAGGAGTGTGGAGTGTTCCCCAGGCTGGAGGCAGTGGGTCTGTCTCTGGCTGTGTGGCATGCATGTTCCCCAGCCCCGAGTCCTTGCTGGAGCTGGAGGACCACAGGCTGAGGGGGATGGAGGGGACCGGGGCGAGCCCTGAGGGGTCCTGCCTGCCCCACAGGTTTGACCTGCAGACACTGCCTGTGGACTTCGTAGAGTGCCTTATGCGCTTCCTGCCCACTGAGGCCGAAGTGAAGCTGCTGCGGCAGTATGAGCGTGAGCGGCAGCCCCTGGAGGAGCTGGCGGCTGAGGACCGCTTCATGCTGCTCTTCAGCAAAGTGGAGCGGCTGACACAGCGGATGGCTGGCATGGCATTCCTGGGCAACTTCCAGGACAACCTGCAGATGCTCACACCGGTACGGCTCCCGCAAGTTGCCATCTCTGCTGCTGCCCCTCCTCCCTCTGCCTGCCAGTCCTTCCGATACCCTCCCCTGCCTCCATCCCAGTGTGGCGTCACTGAAGTGTCCATGTTGCCTTCCAGCAACTCAATGCCATCATCGCGGCCTCTGCCTCGGTCAAGTCCTCGCAGAAGCTGAAGCAGATGTTGGAGGTGGGGAAGGACAGTGGGTGGGGTGGCTGGGGATTCTCAGGTCCTGGCAGGGGAGGAGCCCTCCGTGCCCAACCTTACTTGCTGCCCATGCCCCTTTGGACAGATCATTCTTGCTCTGGGGAACTACATGAACAGCAGCAAGCGGGGAGCTGTGTATGGCTTCAAGCTGCAGAGCCTGGATCTGGTAAGATGGTGGCAGCTGTTAGGGCCAGGAAGCCCATGGCAGCAGCTACACAGCTGATGCGCTGAGCGCTCACTATGTTCCTCTCCTGACCAGCTGCTGGACACCAAGTCCACAGACCGGAAGATGACGCTGCTGCATTTCATTGCCTTGACGGTGAAGGAGAAGTACCCCGAGCTAGCTAACTTCTGGCACGAGCTGCACTTTGTGGAGAAAGCTGCAGCAGGTGAGGGGAGCCAGCCGGCCTGGGACAATCCCAGAAAGCGAGGAGAAGGCATGCTGGGTCCCTTAGTTTCTGGCTTTTGTTATCTTCTTTTTGACAACTTGGGAGTTTGACAACTTGGGCCACTCCAGAAAGAGCCTCCCTGCAGGCTCCAGGCCTGGCACAGCCTTCCCAGTAGGTGCAATGGGCAGGACCAGGAAGGGGGCCCAACTCTTTGCCCAGCTCCCTTGGGCCAGCCCCAAGACTCCATGGGGCACTGCAGTGCAGGGACTGGAGTGCCAAGCGGGGTGAGCCGAGGCAGCTGTGCTTTACAGAGCTGCACTCTGGGCTCTCCGTGTGTGCTTGAGAGCCCTGGGCTCACGGCCTGCTTTCCCTGGTCCCCAAGGGGGTTCAGTTGTGTGTATACCGTACTGGGGAAGGGCCAGGGTTTGCTGAAGCCCTGGGCCAGGAGGTGGGCACACCAGCTTCTGGGCAGGCTTCAGCCAGGCCCCTGGTGACCACAGTGTCCCTGGAGAATGTGCTGCTGGATGTCAAGGAGCTGGGCCGGGGCATGGAGCTGATTCGGCGGGAATGTGGCATCCATGACAACAGTGTCCTCCGGAGCTTCCTCAGCACCAATGAGGCCAAACTGGACAAGCTGCAGCGCGACGCCAAGACAGCCGAGGTGAGCGGGGAGGAGGGGGTGGGAGTGGCTCTGTCAGGGACAGCCTGCTCCTTGGGAGCCAGGCCCCGGCCCCTGCCCTCCGCTCCGGGAGGGACCTCTCCTTCCCACTGGGCTGACCTCTCTGCCCACCCTCCCCCAGGAGGCCTACAATGCAGTTGTGCGCTACTTTGGCGAGAGTCCCAAGACCACGCCTCCTTCGGTCTTCTTCCCTGTGTTTGTCCGGTTCATCCGTTCTTACAAGGTGAGCTGCAGAGGGAAGTGGGGTGTGGGGAAGCGGGGTGTGGCCTCTTCTGACTCCTCCTCAGCAGCTGGGGAAGGGCCATGAGGCTGGTGACAGGCCTCTCAGCTGTGAGCTGGTGGGCAGGGTGGGGGCCCAGGCCCTTCCTGTCATTGTCTGCAGCAGGAAGTGCCCCTCCAGAGGGTGGCCACCTGGGGTTAGCTGGTCCCCCTGCCACCCACTCTCCATCTCAGTGTCAGCCCCTCCCCTCACAGCCTGTGGGAGCCTCACCCTCACTTCCCTCGTAGGAAGCGGAACAAGAGAATGAAGCCCGCAAGAAACAGGAGGAGGTGATGCGGGAGAAGCAGCTGGCTCAGGAAGCCAAGAAGCTGGATGCCAAGGTGGGTGGGACTAAGTCAGGACCTTGGCGGGGGGCCAAGCCCAGGGGGCTGGGGAGAAGCCCGGGGCCTCAGAGCCAGAGCCCAGCAGGGCAAGGAGAGGGGCTTTGGGAGTGGCTGCCAGCTGTGTACGAGCAGAGCATCCTCAGGCTCCCTCGCTGTCTGCCGTAACTTCCTCCCCCATCCTGATGCCTGATGCAGACCCCATCGCAGCGGAACAAGTGGCAGCAGCAGGAGCTGATTGCAGAGTTGAGGCGGCGCCAGGCCAAGGAGCACCGGCCTGTCTATGAGGGCAAGGACGGTACCATTGAGGACATCATCACAGGTGGGGACCTTTCCCTCCCGGGGCCCAGCGAACTCCCGTGGGCCTCTTCTCCTGCCACCCCAGGGGGCTGACCACTGCGTCTCTCTCCTGGGCCACAGTGCTGAAGAGTGTCCCTTTCACGGCTCGTACTGCCAAGCGGGGCTCACGCTTCTTCTGCGAGGCAGCCCACCATGATGAGTCAAACTGTTAGCCTCCAGGGCTGGGTCCTGACAGGTACTGGGCACCACAGCTGCCCCTCTGCATGCCTACCTCCCAGGCCTTCTGCTGGAGCCCCTGCATGACTTGGGGTCACACACTTCTCTCATGTCCCAAGCTCTGAGAAGCGTGGCTTCCCCTGCATGCGCCCTCAGGGAAATGGAATCTCCCACTAACGTTGCCCTGACTTTCTACTAAGACATGAGGACAAGGGGTCGGGAGTGGCCAGGCCAGGCCAGGGCTGGTGCTTGGTTCTAACCACTGAGGGCGAAGGCCTTCCCCAGCCTCTGGGACTCTCTGTGTAAGAGCTCCAGCAGGTGCAGTGGCACTCGGGTGCCTCTAATCTCTGCACATCCTGGGTCTCTGTCCACCGCCCAGTGGCCCCAGCTACCCTGCAGAGCCCTAGCAGTGAGCGAGCCACCCGTCGGGCCTCTTTGCCCTCACAGCGAACCCCTCCCCAGCCCTGCCTGAAGACCCGGCCCTCCTGGACATGCTATCCCCAGCTCCACCTCCCCGTCCATCTATTCACAGGCCTCCACTGCCAGCCCGTCATCGTCCGCCACCAAGCCAGGAGTGCTGCCCCGCCTGGCGGCCCTCCTCGGGCTCCAGGCCCCCGCTGAGACCTCACAGTCCATGGGGAACCGGGGCCCCGCGGATACCATGCTGCCGTGCAGCCACCTCGGCTCCCGAGGTTGATCTGACCTTGCCGTGTGGACACTGGGAGGGTCCATGGAGCCTGGCACTTCCCTGCTGCCTCCAGTACTGCGCCTTGCCTCTGAGAGTCTCGACTCTGTTGGAAGGGGTCCCCAAGGTTGGCACAGGGCTTTGGCCTGTACAGGGACAGCGTGGTCCTCTTGCACCAAGCCCAGAGACTTAAGAGGGCAAGTGACCATATGCATTGCTGTCTGTCCTCTCTTAGTCCCACGGTCGGCCCTGAACTCGACCTGCTCATCGCAGATCATGCCTTGCTAGGACCAGGCCCCTGGTGGAGTGGGGCAGAGGCCAGGCTGTCCTTGCTAGAGAAAGGATGTGCCAACAGCTCCCTCCCCACTCAGCTGGGGGCAGGGTGGTCTCAGCTCCCTGCTAGTTCCTGTGAGCGCCTTGGAGGGAACGCAAGGCCCACCCCTTTGTATATGTACCACTGCCCTTTCCTTTTGTACATAAACCGCAGACCCTCCCTCTCTGAACAAAGGCTTGAAGCACCACTCCTGTGTCTTCTTTCAAGGCCTGGTGAGTGACCGGGATTAAGGGTGGTCTTCCAGCCAGACCCCAGCCAGTGGCGGGTGGAGCTGCACCCGCATGGGGAAGATGAGCTCAGAAGCCTGAAGGGAGGAGAGGCCCTGTGGGCGGCAGCTGGAGGTTGCGGCCACACAAAGAAGTTGGCCAGCTGTGAGCCACCAGTGCCCTCTGCTGGCCACACACACCACCATCCAGCCCTCGGCCGCTGGCGCACAAAGACAAGCCACTCACTGGTTGTGTTATAAATACTATTATTTAAAAAACAAAAACAAAACGAAACACACATACATCGGGTCCTCGGGCTGGAGGAAGAGGTGTAGAGGCCCAGGGCCAGGGCAGGCAGGAGCAGGCACTGTTGCTAGAGGGTGAGGACCCTGCCCTCTGCTGCCCAGGCCATGTCCACCAGCCCTGCGGGCACTCTGCCCTAGAGACCCTTCACTCACACTTTATCTACCGGCACCACCCACCTCTGGTCTGGGGCTGAGGACAAGGACTGCACTAGCTTGGGGGAAGGACCCCAGACGCCAGGGGCAACCCCGAGAGGTGCCGACAGGTGCAAGGGTGGGCTAGGAGGTCGGGCAAAGTGGACACAGACCAGACCGAGGCAGGGTCTGAGGCAGATGCAAAGGTGGTTGGAGCCAGGAGCCCACTGAGCCGAGGCAGCATGGCCCATTCCGTCACTGGTGGTCGTCCAGCTGCTGCAGGAGTGCCCGCCGCCGCCTCTCCAGCTCGCCCTCACTCAGCTCGCTCTCTGACGTGTCCCAGCCTGACTGCTGGGGCAAATGCACAGCTCATCTGGGGCCCGCGCTAAGGGGAGGCCTGCATGCAGCCCTGGGGCCGGGCCCCACCGCTCACCTTCTCCTTCTTGATGCCGAAGCCCAGGGAGCGGTAAGGGAACTCCACCTGCCGGAGCTCCCTGCCCTTGTCCTGCTCCTCCTCTTTCCCATCATTCTCCTTGCCAGCTTTTTCCTCAGGCTCTGTCCCACTCTCGGGACTGTTCTGGAAGAGTCCAGGGCCCCCCGCTGCCATCACTCTCTGGAAGGGCAGCTTGGGAGGTGGCTGGAGCTGGTTTCATGGAACAGCAGGCCTGAGGTATAAGTGCCTTCTCCACTCACCGACTTGCGTCTTCTCTTCTTGGTTTTCTTTTTTGGTTTCTTGGCTTTCCGAAGGCCATGATCTGGAGTGAGAAAATCCCGCTGAGCTCCTCCAGGAACAAGGGCTCCTCCTGGCTCCCCGCTCACTCTCCATAGACATGAGGCAGCCCAGTTTCCCTTCCTTTTCGCACTTTCTCACCCGGGTAGGGACAGGAAGCTTCCCCTGCTCCTGCAGGTGCAGCCCTCCCAGGACCCTCTCCCAGAGTCTTTCCAGAGCTCGCCAAGGTCCTCGAGTCGCAGGCTGCCTACCTGACCCAAGGAGGAGGTGAGAGGACGGGGAGCCCCATCCTCCAGGGGCAGCACCCCCACTCTCAGCCGAATCCAGGGAAGACGATGGCTCAGAGCCAGACTCTGAGGGGTTTTGCCTCCTCCGCTTGGGTGCCCGGAGAGACGACAAAGACAGCTCCTCTTCGGACTCGGAGCCCTGGCACAGCAACACGAGAGTCAGCGTGGCAGTCTCCTGGCCTTGGGAACCCCAATCTAGGATGAAGGGCAGAGAGGAGGACCCAGGGCCAAAGGGTTCCTGAGGCCTCCCTTCCAGGATGGTGATGGAGACCATGCAGTTTTCCCAGGTGAGCCTGCCCTGGTCCACAGCCTTTCAGCCTGGCACTCACCGAGGGCGAGTGGGACCGCTTGTGGTGGTGTTTCTTGCCCTTCCTGCCGTGCTTCCGGCCCCGGGTATGCAGATGCTGGCACTCATTCTGCTGGAAGCAGAGGCAGGGCATGAGGGGGACCTTGGCCAGGTCCTGCCACTTCCCTGGCTTGTCTTCTGCCAGAGGGGTGCGGCCACTGAGCTTTGTCAAGCTGACCTAGGGCCAGGTCCAAGGAGAGAAGCTTGCCTCACCTCCAGCACCTGCAGGAACTCCCGGAAGAGCCGGATCCGCTCTGACTCCAGCGTGATCTGCTCGAAGGCCGAGTCACACACAAAGCGTTCCCGGACCTTGATTGGGGAGAGCACTGCTGATCAGCCCAGCCCCACCTGGCCTATCAGGACACGGCCACCAGCACAGGAAGGAAGGGAGATGGAGCTGGGGCTGTGCTGACCTCTTCCCAGGCAGTGCCCAGCTCCAGCGCGGGCACAGCCTGCCTTAGCATACTCCGGAAGGCCGCCTCCCTGCGCCGCACACGGCGTGCCTCCTCCTTCTCCCGCTCCCTCTCCCGCGCTTCTGCTTTCTCCAGCAGCTGCAGGCACAAAGAACACAAAACGGTGTCACCCTGGAGGCTGGGGCTTGTACCCATTTTCTAGGGGGTGGAGGTCAGGGCTGGGCTGTACTGGGGACAGAGTGAGGGGTGGCAAGCGAGAAGGGACACTCCAGGACTCTGGGTGCGATTAAGGGGCAAGCTCCGCACACCCAGCCCCTCACACTGTTGAAGGTCAGCTTGATGTTGCCTGCGTCCAGCGCGGCAGCCCTCTTGTCAAAGCTTATGACGTGGGCGAAGTCCTCAAAGGCCGTGTTCACTTCCACACAGAAGCCCCGGTCCTGTGGGCACAGCAGCGCATGAAGCGGGGGTGCTACGGCCATGGCCCAGAGCTGGCAGGTGCAGGGTTTAGGAACAGGATGCTCATAGAGACCCTGGCCCTTCGGCCCCAGGCCCAGCCTTGTGTTGGGGTGTTGCCAAGCCACAGGGTGGCAAGGTGTCTGCTGCGGCCCCCACCCAGCCTTCCTGGTGATCCTGTGCAGCCTCAGCCCCCACCCTATTGGACACTGTACACTCACATCCTCCTCCCTGTTCGGAGCTTAACAACAGGTCCCAGGGGTGTCTCAGGTGGACAGAGACTAGGGTGCTTGCAGCTGACACATGCTGAGCAAGAACTCCAACCCTGGCCCAAAGCCCATGTGTGCAAGTCCTGTACCCACCCACGCCACTCGTGCCCAGGGACTAGTGAGGTCTTTGGCGTGCAGCTGCTTTCTCCGAGCAATACTCAGGAACGGCTGAGATCGAGGGAGCAAACCAGGCCACAGTGCATCTTGCCACATGGTAGGGCCTCACTTCTCCCTAGCGCTCTCACCCCAACCCTGTCGGGCAGGGCACTGAAGCCACCTCTCCAGACAGCTCCCTTGTGCCTCTCCCCCACACCCAGACAGGACCCCTGTGCCAGGCACTCATCTTCCCAATTGGCTCCCTCCTGGACTGCGGAACCTCTAGAAAGGCAGCACAAAGGCCAGCTAGGAGTCTACATGCTGAACTGCCTGTAGAGCCATCATGGACTGTGGCGGGCTCCGAGCCAGGAGTCACCGCACTTTAGGACGGGTGCTGCCCCCACCCCACTCCCTTGGGCACTGTCACCAATCCTCCCCAGGCTCCTTTTGCCCTCACAGCCATACCACAGGGCTGCTGCTTGGCACCTGCTTGGGTCCTCAGGGCTGCTGTCTCTACCCTGCCTGCAGGCATTGCTGCGGTGGAACTCCTGCCTGCTGTACCCCTGCAACCTTGCTCCTCACCTCCCTGCAGGACCCCCCTCTTGACTGGGCACTCTGCACACCCTAGACACTCGACAGTGCCTTTCTTCTGAGGTCCCAGGCCCCCCATCTTCTGTCCTCCACCTGACTGCATCACCCTGTAGGGCCAGAGGGTTGTCAGTCAGTCTGGCTGCATGGCTGCAAGACAAGGCAGGAGCCCAAACAGGGGAACATGGGGGAATGTTCCTAGTGTGGACAACATCTTGCAGCACCAACCACCATGTGGCTCCATCCTGACAAGGGAAACACAGCCACCCCAAGACTACAAGTTCTCAGTGTGATTACCCAGTGTCACTAGGGCTGGCATTGGGCTGCAACACCAGCGCCCCACATTTGGGAGGGCAGATTTGAGCCCCAGCTCCTGTGTTTCCGACCCAGCTCCCTGCTGATGCATTTGAGAAGGCAGTGGACAATGGCCCAAGTACTTGAGCCCCTGCTGCACAAGTGGGAGACCAGGAAGAAGCGCTTAGCTTCAGCCTGGTTCAACCCTTGCTATTTTAAGCATTCAGGGAGTGAACCAGCAGATGGAAGATTTCTTTATCTGCCTTTGAAATAAATCAATTTTTTAAAAAGGTGATTATTGGTTTTGAGAATAACTCTCCCCATAATATTCTGGTTTCCTCTGGCTCAACCGTAGCTCCCCAGTGCTGGTCCGTGGTTTCATCACAGACCCAGCCATTGCCTTGTTCCTTTCTCTCAATGTCACACTTCCCAGCGACTGTCCCCTGGGGTCACACATTTACCCATTTACCATACTTTTCCAGTAAACCAAGGCAGAAGGCCAGCGTACATGAGAGATGCAAGCTGTCTTGGTTGGCAGGAGGGGAAGGGACAGGCCCTCTGCCTGGGAATGAAGACGTTGCTTAAGCTGACTGTGTCCTGCTGTGGAAGACCTGGGTTCAAGTCCTAGCTGCAGCTCCCGACTCTACCTTCCTGCCAATACGGAGCCAGGAGGCAGTGGTGTCAGTTCAAGGAACTGGTTTCCTGCCATGCACATGGGCCTGAGTTGAGTTCCAGGCTCTTGGCTTCGGGCCAGCGCAGGCGTGGCTACTGGAGGCACCTGGGAGCAGACCCACAGATGGGGGCTCTGTCTGTCTCAAGCATAAGATCTCCCCTACCACCTTGCCCATCTCCAGGAGGATCTTGGCAGTGCCACTGTTCCAGCTCTCCTAGCTGCCGCTAGCAGTGCCAGGTGGGTCTCTGGCACCTAGGCCTTCCTGAGAACTGCACCAAGGGACAGGGCAGGGCCTGAGTTGGCAGAGTGAGTCACAATGTCTCTCGTTACTTGCCACTGTCACTTGCACCATGGGGAGGCTGTGAGAACTGCCCTCTGCCGCCTTCTCCCCTAGAGACGCAAGTCCTCGCCACACCATGGGGAGGTGCTGCTTTCCCCTCGGCAAGATGAACACCCAGACTTGCCAACTTCGGGGCCTCTCAGAGGGCGGACTCTCCTGTGATCTGAGGACACTGCACCAGCACTCACAGGAGACAGTGTGGCCTGCTTGTGCAACACCAGCATGAACACGGGAGATGGCACACACGGCTTCGGGGAACGGGGCACTTGACACTCCGTCCCCAGCGCTCCTCAGCTCAGCCAAGTTGGTCTCCTGGGTCCTGAGGGGTATGCTGAATCCCTCGTGTTGAGGATTGCCCATTACTGCCCGCAGCCTGCTCCTGAGCGCTGCCCGCTGTCTCTCAGCAGGCACCAGCACATCTTCCATAAATGTCCCTCCCTGCCTCTCCTACAGCACCCTGCCTGCTCCCTCACGTCTCTCCCTTGGGAGTCAGGGCTGCTCAGAGGAAATGTGCCAGGGCCACCTGGGAAAGCCAGCTGACAGGGCCAGCAGAAGACAGATGATGCACCCTCTCTCACTGGTGCCAGGCAAGGGAAGCGGTCATGGTGGGTGCCAGCAGGCATGTGGCCGGCCTGTGCCCATCCCTCACCTTAAGGATGTCCTTAATGATCTTCTTCTCATCGTGGAATCGTGCCTTCAACTCCTCCACATAGAACTTGAACAAGTCCAGAGGGGTGGAGCCTGCAGGGAGGGAGGGAGGGGGGCCTGGCGGGTGGCAGCTTCCCAAGGTCTGGCTGGGGGTGGGATCGAGGACAGAACCAGGCTGGGGTGCGGAGAGGCCGGCAGGGCAGGAGAGCAGTCTGCTGCTGGGGAGCCTGGCTGCCTTACCCGGCTGGCCCAGCATGTTGGCAAAGCGGACGTCAGTGCTGACTGCTGGGTACAGCTCCATCCAGGTGGACATGGAGTGCAGCTGCCCTTTCTCATGCAGCTCGTCTAGGAAGGTCTGAGCAGGGAGAAGCCAGTAATGGCAAGAGTGACACAGGAAGGAAAGCAGAGCCAAAGACCTCCAAGGGAGGGAGGGATTAGTGGGAAGCAAGGAGGGACGATGCTGGCAAGGGAGGCAGAGAGCCATGGAGCCAGCCACCTGCCTGCAGCACCCTGGTCCCATGACTGGGCTGGTCTCCTGACCCACAGCTGAGGACTCCCACTGGGAGCAAGCTCAGCCCATCTGGCTCCCTACACAAAGGAAATGACAGGTCTAGCTGCCCAGCAGTGCCCTCTACCGGCAGCTCCAGGTGGTGACATGTCTGGTCCCAGGGCCACAGCAGGGAGCAGGGCTGCAGGCAGGCCTGGGAGCGTGGCCAGGGTCAGGTGCGGACAGAACAGGCAGCATGGCTGAGAGGAGGCAGGCCAAGGGGAGAGCTGTGGTCTCAGGGAGGGCTGAACTTGGATCCAGAAGGCAGCGAAGATACCTGGAAGGCCTCCCGGTTCTTGCGTTGCTGACGCCGCTCCCGAAGCCGGGCCCGCTCCTGCTCCTCCTCCTCCTCTCTCTCCAAAGCACGGATGTGCTCCTCAAAGCAGATCAGTGCATCTTCCTTGTCCATATCTAAGGACAGGGGAGGTCGGTGAGCAGGCTCCAGCACTCCACATGCGGAGAGGACTCCGCGGGAGCAGCTGCTGCTACCAGAGGTCTGAAAAGAGGCAGGTGGGGAAGGAGATGGCAAACTGCCTAAGGACAATGTCATGTCACAGACAGCACTTGTGAATGCATCTACCAGCAACTGTGACAGGAAGCCATGTGGGACCCTGGGGGACACATCTGGAATCGGGAGTCAGTCTGAGGTGCAAGCTCAGAGGGTGAAGCTCTGGGTCAGTGGCCTCAGCTTACTGTGACACACACGAACCCACGGTTCTGGGGTGGTTTGAGACCACAGCTGTATGCGCTGTTCAGGTCAAGATCACCACCATCCCAAGATTTCCGATTCCCATCCCAGGCTCCTATCTCCACACACATACGATGTCCATGTTAGCTGTGGAGCCGGGACAGTCCTGGAGTCCAGAGAGCTATAGGGACTGAAGGAAGGCAGGCGGTGGCAGGCAGATGGCACAGACAGGTGGGCAGTGGGGTGGCGAGGGGGCTCACTCTGCAGCTGCTGGTCCTGGGCAAAGCTAGGGTTGTCCATGAGGTACTGCTGGGCCTGCGACCAGCTGGTCTGGAAGCTGACACTGCTCATGCTGTCCAGGATGCTCTTCAGGGCCTGGATGTTGCGGCGGCGGAGCTGCTTGGCCTGTTCCTGAGGAGCCACGGGAGCAGGGTGAGGCACGCTGGCCAGGGCTCCCCGACTCCCCAAGCGGGCCATGGCAGAGGAAGGGGCATGGGCTATGGCACTGACAACCCAGGACACTGCCTTCCCTCCCTCCTCCCCCAGGCCCAGGCAACAGACCAGAGCAGCAATGGGGCGCACAGGCCTCCAGGGCAGGAGTGGGGACCCTGGGGAGGCAGAGAGAGGACCGGCCAGCCCACACCGAACCCAGGATTGAGCCCGGGGTGGAAGGAGCCAGCTGGGACTATTACCTTCTCCTTCTTGGCCAGGAAGAAGATGACGTCATCGTATACCTCTTTTCGATCTCTCTCAGGCACCACAGCCCAGACCTCTAGCTCCCCAAAAGTCTGTTCCGCCCGCCTGGGGAGCACACGGGCTGTGAGGAGTCAGCAGGGAGCACAAGCCCTGGCTCTCGCAATCCGGGCCACGCAGCTGCTGACCGGTAGCGGGTGGTGGATGTCATGCGCTCGTGCTGCTCCAGGAAGTGCTGCAGGGTCTGCTTGGCTTCCTTGGCCCTCAGCCGGGCCTCCTCCTTCTCCTCCTTCTCCCGCTGCGCCTTGTAGGCATTGAACGCCTGCTTCTTCTCGCTCAGCTTGGGCAAGGCACTAGGGAGGGGAGGGATGGGAGCGTGGTTGGGGCTGCAGGAGGCAGTCCGGGATGCAGGCCACACGCACAGCAGGTTGTAGGGGGCTGAAGGGAAGAGGACTAAGCATAGCCTGATGCAAGTGGGGCTTTGGGGTCCTGCAGGTACCACCAGACTGGGGCCCTACCCAAGCTCCTCTCTCCCCATTCAGTTTGCTACAGACACCACTGCTGAATGCCCCCGCCACCAGCACCACCCTCCAGTATTTCTTCCTTCGGCACCAGACCCTCATCTCCCAGGCTCCCAATGACGCCCTGGGTCTGCGCCAAGCTGGGCTTTCTCAGGGGCTCCCTGGCCCAGTGTCCTACCAGGCCTACCTGTAACGGGGGTCAGTGACCACCATCTTCATGGCCTGCTCCCATGATGCGTTGGAGGGGACGGCCTGCGATGGAGCCAGCAGAGGTCACAGGACTTGCCTGCCTCTGGTCACCGCAGGCCCTCCCCAGGGAGCCTCACCACCCCGCACCTTATCCCTCAGCAGCTCCTTGAATGCCTGCTTTGCCTTCTCCCGGTTGCTCCAACTGAGGCTGGACCTCTCTGGCTCTGGCTTGGCCTCTTCCTCCTCCTGCTGCGGGGACTGCAGCTGGCTCGCAGCGCTGCAGGGCAGAAGGAATTCAGGCACAGGGCCACTGGTGCGCTGTACTCTCAGCAGCACGCTGCCCTCCTGTGACTCCCAGGGCTGCCCTTCCACAGAGGACGAAAGCCAGCTGGCCTCGGGAATGCTGGCAGGGGCAGCCCTTACCTGCTGGGGCCCCCCTCAGGCTGCTTCAGGAAGCCCTGCTCCAGGGGCTGGGCGGCCTCCGACCCATCACAGTCTTCACTCCCACCTGGCTCGGGCTCTGGGAGGCCTGAGGACACGGGCACAGGACCAGGAGGTATGGGCGGGGGGTCGGGCTGCGGCTGGGGAGGCTGTGGCTGCAGTGTCTGCGGTGGCAGTGGCAGTGGCTGCTTCCTGCAGGTGAGCCAAAGGGCAGTGTTGATAGGACACAGAGGGGAGAGAGCCCCTTCCACCCACAAGCCTGATGCCCACAGCGTCCACTGCTGCCCCCCCCCCAGGTGGCCCAGGCAGAATGAGAGGTAGACACAGGGACAAGTCACTCACCCTGCAGCCTCCTGCTTGACTAAAGCTGCAAGGGGCAAAGACGACACCGTCAGTCACAGGACAGCAGGGGGAGGGTCCCTGCCCCTCCACCAAGGCCAAACCAAGCGACTTGCAGGGCGCTCACCTTCCAGTTCGTCCAGGTCCTTGGGCCGGGTCCAGCGGGACTCCTTACTCTGGTTGTTGTAGTAGTAAGGCTTGCCTGTGTCCGACTTGTACTCTTTCCAGGGACACTGAGACAGCAGCAGCTGAAAGAGGACATGGCAGGCCAGTTCAGCAGGCTGCCTCTGCTCTCCAGCAATGGGCTGGGAAATAAGGGACCCGAGGAGTAGATGCAACAGGCCTGGCTATGCTTCAATTCGGGAAGGTGGGCTTGCTGAGCTGCTAGGGAGGGAGGCTGCGTGCTGTTTAGGGACCTCGGGGACCTGGGGGGGGGGTGCATCCTAACGACTGTGCTTGTAGCCTGAGGGGAGGTTAAGGCCACGGGAGGGCCAGGCAGCTGAAAGGGCTCAGGACCTCTGCCTTTGACTTGAGCACGCTGGGCTTCTCCCACACGGACTGCTTGTCGTCAGCGTTGTAGTAGTAGGTGCGCCCGTCGGGGGTCACATGCTCACTCCACAGGGCCCTCTGCGGGGACCGGCACAGAATGGTGATCAAAGGCCCTTCCTGACACTGCTCCCCCTCAGCCCAGCCCGCCTCCCCAGAGATGCCTGAGCTTGGAGCACTCACCAAGGGGCCTGTCCCAGGCACAGCAGCTAGAAAAGAAGCCAAAGGAAGCTGCTAAGCCCCCCGACCCAGGCCTCATCTTACCCCAAACTATGCCTCCCCTTCTGCCGACCCCAGTCAGTAAAGATCCCCCTGGTCCCAGCAACGTCCCGGGCTCCCTGGCATCCCGTCAGGCAGGTTCCAGGTGGCCTCCAGTCCACGGTCCCCTCTCCCCTGTGCCCCCCAACCTCCGAGCCTGGGGGGGAGCAGACCCCCAGAAGACTCACAGCTGGCGGTGTCCGCACCCGGAGCCGTCTGCCGAAGAAAGAGGAGGGGGAAGGGTTGGGGCCAAACCCAGTGGCCCCCAGGACCCAGGCCGTGGGGGTGGAGAAGCAGGCCAGGCCAGGATCCATGTGCCCTACTCCCAGGGGCCTCTGCTCCCTCACAGGCCCCCCACCATGCCAGGGCCCCAGCTCTGGGCTCCCAGAGGGATCCACACAGTTCATTTCTCTTCGTTTTTCTCAAGCCAAAAAAGTATGCAGTTGAGTCAACTCCTGATGCCCATCTTGTCACAGCGGATGCCAAATGCTACCCCTTCCTCAGACTCTAGTCACCAAGCAACAGTACAGAGAGGTGCTGCCACCCCCGTGCTTGCCACCTCTTCCAGAGGCACCAAGAGGGTGAGCAGGGGCTGGGTGCTGCGTGCACAGTGCAGGTTCTGAGAGTGAGGAGGACTGGGCATGCGTGTGCGCCACAGGGGAGCTGCGCTCAGCATGGGCACTACCAAGAGAGCAGGGATGTGCCTTCGGGATGAGCAGGCCTAGGAGTGGAGTACGGATGGCGAGGAGGGTTCCAGTGTGGGGTGCTGCCGGGAACCAGGGAGGATACGATAGAAGAGGGAAAGAATGGAGCCCCTGAATTCCAAGTCACACCCGTAGGAGCGCAGGGCCAAGCCTGCTTCCTGCCAGCCCCCAGTGCTCACCACTGCGGTGACGGGCACTGCTGGCATCAGCATTCCTGGCATCATCGGAGGTACCATTCCTGGTATCTGTGGATGCAAACAAGACAGAAGCTGGCCACCATGGTGGAGGCGAGCAGGGGGCCTGGTCAGAGGTAGAGGGCTGAGCTAGCACTGGGCTGGGTGCACTTTCAGCAACCCCCAGGTGTGGGCTCTCACTTGCCCATGAGGTGGCCCAGTCCTTCAGCTGACAGATCCACACAGGCCTGGCATAGTGCCCCCCTCTCCGACTGGCTTCCATGGCCATGTACCCACTCTTCTCTCCACCCCCTGTACCACAGATGGAGTCTGTTGAAGGTCCAGGGAGGGGAACGATTACCTGTGTGAGTGATGGTGGTGCCCCCATTGGTGGAAGCATGGGGGGCAGGATGCCAGGTGGCATAGGGGGGATCGCTGGCGGCCTCTGGCTCATGGGGGGCAGCCCCATTGGCGGGAAGGGTGGGGGGAGCCCTGGAGGGGGTATCTGGAAGTGAGGAAAGCGAGAACTCATTACAGAGAAACACTGCCAGGAAGCAGCCAGTCCCCTACTCCACCCCACCCCACCTCTCCGTTGGCCTGGAGGGGATACTGAGGCCTCGGCAGGAGGGCCTCCCTCCTCACTGCGGACCTCTGGGGTTGGAGGTAAGCACACTTGTTCCCAAAGAGGAAAGGGCAAAGGTCAAGGCCATGGCATAGCACCCCTGCAGCAGCCCTGCCTGCTCAGCCACACCCAGGGGCCCTCCGATGAGGAGTGGGAGGCAGGTGGCCATGTACCCCCAGCCCCCCACACCTCCACCTCCACCTCAGGACCACCACGGCTCCTCCAGCCTGGATTCTGTGTAGACTTAAAGAACACAGGCAAGGAGTGGTGGAAAGAGACAGCCCACCCTGTCCGCACCCTTCCACTCCTCCTGTCTCCAGCCCCAGGTGCCCCAAGGGAAAAGAGACAAAGGGGAACCATCAACTCCATGGGACTGAGAACTTTAGCAGCTCTTGTCACCCCAGTGCCCAAGCCAATTCCAAGGGCAGCAGAGCGGTCATCACACCAACACCGTGTTGACAAGGCCGTGATGGTCAGGGGCTCAGGGGCTGGGAGTGCGGGGGCGGGGGGTGCAGGCTGGAAAAGCCAAGCCCAGGGGAACACAGAAGACTTACGAAGGGTGGTGGCATCATGGGGGGCCCCGGTGGGAAGGGGGCAGGCGCTGCTGGGGGCCGGGGACCAGAATCGGGAACCGACTGTTGAGGGAGAGAAAAGTCATAGGACCCAGGACGGGCACCGAGATGGGCTTTGTGGGAGGGAAGCGGAGGAGTGCGGATGAGCGGGACTCAGGTCCAAGGGCAGGGCCTGCAAGGCTAACTTGCCACCGTCCACAGTGCCAGGCCCCGGGCAGCTTGCCCTCTGTGCCAGCTCAGGGCCAGCGGTGTCTTTGTTGTGGGACTTGCATAGTGCCAGGGTGCTGAGAAGATGGAAGCGGCTCTCTCAGGGGCACAGGTCAGCTCCCCCAGGGCTGTGAGCCCCATCTCCTGCCTGGTCGGCTGACTCTTGCTCCAAGCTCCTAGTTCAGCTAACTCCCTCACGGACTCACTCCAAAACGTCTCCAAACACAGAAGACCCTGGCCCTCTAAGGCCTGGCCTCCTCTTCGTCACCCTTCTCTGTGACATCTCCCACTCCCCTCCCCCATGTACGCGCAGGCTTTGGAGCAGCCTAGTCTTGTTGTCACACACCAAGTGGCTGGCCACAGCCTGTCCTTTGGTCCCTGCCTGGGGCTCACTCACTCTAAGAAGCCTTCCTGCCTGTACTTTAGGGGCTCCTGCTAGGCATCCAGTGCACACAACTTTTCCATTACTGCACACGCATGTCCCCACACAGGGTGGTCAGAGTCCGTGGGTGCAGGGATCACATCTGGCTCGTCCCGAGCTGGACTCCTGGGACCTGCAATGTAGCCTAACGCAAAATAGGCAACTGGTGAACACTGTCCGAATGAAAACACAAAGGGAAGAACAAATACTTTCTGAAGCATCTGCCACCGATAAAAATAAAATGCATCTTATGCACATAGCCTTGCATGGCCAAAATGACATATATATGACATATATACAAGGTTTTCATTTTACTTTCTACATAAAAACAGCAGGTTGGGATCACCTTAAATACATGAGTATTAGGCAGCTTTTGAATACTCTAATGAATTACCTGAGGGCTGGATACTTTTACAAAGAGGTTTATTTAGGAGCCGTCATTGTGGTGTAGCATGTAAGGCCACTGCCTGCAACATTAGCTTTGCATATGAGCACCGGTTCAAGTCCCAGCTGTTCTACTTCCAATCCAGCTAGCTGCTAAAGTCCTGGAAAAGCAGCAGAGGATGGCCCAGATGTTTAGGACCCTGCACCCATGTGGGAGACTGAGAAAAGGCTCCTGACTCCTATCTTTGGCCATGTGGCCACGTGGGAAATTGACCTGGGGGATGGAAGATCTATTTTTCCCTCTTTCTAAGTAAATAAATAAATAAATGTGTGCTAAAAGGAGGTTGATTCTATGGCTCACAGTACTGGAAACTCAAGGGCATGGTGCCAGCTTCATTGCATCCCAAAGCAGATGAAGTAGAACGTATTCTGGACCTTGAAGGGCAGAGGCCTCGTTTGCTCCTTTTAACAGCACTCAAAGCAGAACTAACTCCGGGTCACATGCACGAACGGAGACCCTCCCCAGAACAGGTGCCCAAGGACTACCAAGCTGCTGGAGGCCGCCTCTTCTCAGGGGCACCTCAGCCCTGCCACAGAGGGGCAGAGCACCCACACACTAGCCCTTGGAGGACCAACCAAGCCACAACAATCGACAGTGAAGAGCTATGAAATTACACACCCACTGCAGGCAGAGCACTAGGCAGTCACAAATAAGAATCAGCAGGCTCAATGTCTCCCTGTAGAGCCCTCCCTAAGGTGCACTTAGTGTGGGGCGAGGGCCAGGCACAGCCAGCCAGAAGATGGTACGCAAGAGATGGGTGAGGACACCATTGCTCTCTGTAACGCCTAAGACCCACCAGCATTGTTACCTATCCAAACAGCTGTTACTGCATCGAGGCTGACAGGCCCCAACACGCCAAGGCCTGGAAATGGGGGGAGCAGAAGAGAAAGGAAGGTGGGAGCTGGCTGAAGCCTCATCGCTGGGCTCAAGTTGCGCAGCTCCCCAGTGGCCCCTGTGTGACCAGGGCTCGGCGTTTCAGACCACTTCCTAACCCCAGCCTTCAGCCTTCCCCGTCCCTCACCACTTCCTAAAAGGGTTAGGGCAGGAACGCACCCATTCCAACCTGACTCACCCCTCCTCAGCATTCAACTGCCTCGGCCATGCATTCAGACCTGCTCCTGCCCCCACAGTTCTTCCTCAGCGGGCAAAGTCAGAAGCAAATCAATATGGGAGGAAATCCAATATACAATGTCACACATTCTCGCCTCCTGCTGCATAGGGAGCCTCCCTAACCCCCAGGTAACCATCTCTGGGTCCCCTCCCACCTGCCCTAGGGTGGCCCATTTTGGGGAACTGGCACTCCTACCCTCACCCCTTCAGTTGTGTGTGTTGATGAGAGAGAGATGGAGGGAGAGAGGGAGGGGGAAGGAGGAAGCGAGGGAGCCTGAGTTACAGCACGCCTCTCTCCTCCTCCCAACACTTGGCTGAGTCCTCATCACTTCACCACCACCTTCTCGCATGACCTTCTGCTGCAGCCTGCCAACTGTCTCCCCCACACGGCAGCTTTGGCGAGCTCTTTAAAGTGTCCCCTCGGGTGCCTCAGCCCCTCAGGGAACACACCAACCTCCCCAGCCTCAGCCTCCACTTCCGCCCGGGACAGCTGCGTCGACTGCCAACCCCATTCCTCTTGCCCACATGTGCTTTGCATCTGCCAACCCTCGGGTCCCCAGCGAAGCCTGTCCCCACGGCCTCCTCGAGTTTGGATATGTGGTCACACCTGAGCCTTCCTCTTTGGCCAGCGTCCACGACAACTCTATAGCTACTCTGATGGCTCTTCCATCTTACACAACGAAGAAAGAAAGATGCTGCCCATTAAGTTATGACAGCCCATCAAATGCAGAACCTTGCCCCCTGACCTCAGTAATGGAAAAATGTCAGTCTCGGGGTTAATAGAACACATCTCTGCTACTGCTCTGTAATGGTCAAGGACTTAGTCACTATCACCCCAACATCCTATCCCCATCTCACTGGTCCTCACGAACCCCTTCAGGCACCCAGCAGGGGCAAAAAAAAAAAAAAATGTTTGCAATGGTCTTCACACTCGGCACAAAATGGGAGCGGGGCAGGCTGAGGGACACTGACGTGGCTCAATGGTTATTCAAGGAACACAGAACGTCAGAGCTAAAGCGACCTGGCACCTGCGCAAGACAGCCTTGTCTTTTTAAATAAGAGAGGAGGACAAAGAGGCACCCTCGTCCCAGGTTCCACAGCTGGTCATGGACAGAGGCCGGGGCTGGACCCAATCTGCCCCAGCCCTCCTCCCTTGGACGCACACAGTTCCTGCCCCGGGGAAGTGGGTTTGCTTTCACCCCAACACATTCCTTGCCAGCTCAGCAGTTCCCCCAGAAGGACCCAGCAGGGTGGCTGCCTAGAGCTGCCTCCAGGCTCTCAGGGAGCAAATAGCCCATCCCACCTGGCCTGGCTTGTCCTGACTCGGTGCCCGGACTCCCCCTGCTCCGCACAGGAACTGTCAGATTACCTTCACATGCTTCTTTTATTCTACTTGCCTCCCAATTCATACAAGATGATCCAATATTTCCTCCCCCAGGCTACCTTTTATGACAACCTCCTACACACACACACACTTCCACCTGTCTGTGTGCCTGAAGATGAAGGCTGTGCTACCTGGCAGACTGAGTCATGTATCTGGGTGTTTCACACCAGACTGCCTGTCCTGCCCCCTGGGGGGAGGGGGGATCCCCTACATTGGGATGATCCCTTCCCCCTAAACCACTCTCCGGTGTCTAGTCAGGCTCTGCACAAAAGCACTGTGATCAAAGGCGGTCTCCCTCCTAACCTTGGTGGGGTTCTGTGTGCTGGGTGTGCAATGGGCCCCGTATGTTGGCCTCAATGCTGGGTACAGGCTGTGACAGAGAGGGGGTGTGGCAGTAGTGTGTGTTGCTGGGGAAAAGGGAACTGGAATCAAATGCTGGCATGAAGATGCCTACATACTAAGCAGCTGACAGTACACCATCATCTTCAAGGCGGATGGAGATCTGGGGGCAGCATTTAGGCACCACTGTTCTTTGGACAGCTCCTGCTGCACAGGGGGCAAGGGCAGGGGAGTCCATGAGCTGCCCCTACCCTGTTGTGCCCTTTCTCTCTAGAAACCCACCAGCTTGGGGACCAGGACAACTTTGGGTCTCAGGATACTCATGGGTGAGAACCCCAAGCAAGCAAAGTGAGAGAGGGGCTACAGGAATGGGGGCCTGTCCCCAGAGGGCTGGGGAGGCGTAAGGAACACATGTCCACCTGAGTCAGTGACCAGGAATCTACAAGTAACACCTTCACATTCCTGAGCTGAGAATTCAGAAGAAAGACGGAGAAAAGAACAGATGGAGGGCTGGGAGGAAGGGAAGGGGAATTACTTTAGCTAGTCACTATTTCGTGCGTGCTTTTTAAGAGCCAGATTTCACGCCCAACATGTCTCATGTAATCCTCACACGCAACTTACAGGCGATCACCTCCACTTGAGAAAAACAGAGGTTCAAGGGAACCTGACCTCGGTCCCAAGAGAGTCCATGACATGGGCAGGTTTGGGATCCAAGGAATCTGCGCCTTCCCATCCTCCACCAGGCTGCCCCCAGCAAGGAAGAGGCACCCCCCCACACACACACACACATCTCTTATCACCTTGTTCCCCAACCCTCGGGCAGGCCTGCCTCCCTCCTGCTCCCTGAAGCGATGACAGCTGGAAGATGGAGGCTGGGAGCCCCATCTCTCCGGAGGAGGTACCAGTGAGCAGTGTGGGAGACCAGCTGATGACCCTGCCATGCTTCTTCAGTGCTCCCCAAGCGGCACCTGTTTCCAAGACCATGCTCTCCCCAGATATACTGGCCCTTTCTAGGAAACACCTTCTCTAGAACCACCTAATCTTGCAGGTGGAAACAACTGGGATATCATTCCCCCACCGCACCCCACCTTTTTTTTTTCCTTCCAGTTTTCTTTCCCTGTTTTAAAGAGGAATGGAAGGCCCAAAGAAAGTGGTGACTGGCCCAAGGTCACACGGAGCTGTCCAACGAGCTTGCCGATGGGCCCGCCCAGCCCTGCAAGGAGCTGGCAGCCTTGGCACACGGGGTCTGGCCAATGCCTGCAAAGGCGGGACGGGGTGTCCAGGCGGCCCCAGGACGGGGCGTCCAGGCGGCCCCAGGATGGGGCGCCCCGACTCCCCTCGGGCTGAGTCCGGGGGTGCGTCAAGCGGCACGCCCCGGCCTCTCAGGATGGGAACCTGGTCTCGAGGACCACCTGCCGCCGCCTCCTCTTTCCCGACCTTCCTTCACACACACACACACACACCCTTCACGACGTCCCTTCCTCCGCCTCACCCAGTCCCGCAACTCTCGTCCCCGCAGCCGCCAGACTCCATCATGGCCTCCCCCGCCCCTCAGCCCCCCAATCCCCGCCCCCATGGCCCCGGCCCGGCTCCTCTCCCTCGGCCGCCGCTCCCCGGGCCCCCCAGCGGCCTGCCCGCCCCCGACCCCGGCCCGGCCCGGGCCGCAGGGGGCGCTGTGGGACCACCCCGGGCCCCGCCACCCCCGCGCGGGGACGTTACCATGCCAGAGCCTCCGAGCAGCTGGGCCGGCTCGGCCCACCCGCCAGTAAGAGCCGCTGCGATTGGCTGCGCCTCGGCCGGGGGGCGTGGCTGGCGGGGGTCGCACCCCTTCGTCGCCGGGGCTCCGGTGGCTCGGCCGTGGAGGAGCGGCGCTGGCGACTGGGCCCGGAATGGCGGAGCCCGCTGCAGGGCACGGACGGAGAGACGGACGGCCGCGGGGTGCCTGGCGCTGACGGACGGACGGACCCGGGGTGGGAGCCCGCCGCTGGGCGCTCACGGACAGACGGACTGCCCCGGGGTGTCGGGCGTTGACGGAGGGACGGACGGACGGACGGACCCGGGGTGTCGGGCCCTGACTGACGGACGGACCCGGGGTGTCGGGCCCTGACTGACGGACGGACTCGGGGGGGCCGGCGCTGACGGAGAGACGGACAGACGGCCGCGGGGTGCCTGGCGCTGACTGACGGGCTGCCCCGGGGTGCCAGGCAGTGACGGAGGAACGGACCCGGGGTGTCGGGTGCTCACGGAGGGACAGACGGACGGCCGCCGCTCTCCTGCCTCAAGCAGGCCACTGAGGCCCGGCTCCGGACCGGAGCGAACGCTTTCCAGTTTGTGGTGTGACGGTCTTGACCACTATTCATGAACTCCGGAACTACTTATTGAGCACCTGCTTTGCACCTGGCATTGAATCTGCAGTAGCTGGAAATAAAATACAAAGCAAAAACAGACAATGCCCCGAAATCCTGCCCGGGGAAGGCTCACGCGTGACTCCGAAGCTGCTCTGGGGACGGGACGCCCCCGCAAGTGAGCTCTCACTGCCCAATCTTTCATAAAAGTTAAGACTCAGAAGTAAATAGTGCGCAGACTAGCAGGTCAACCCAATGCTGTTTCTTGAAGATGTATTTAAAGATCAGAGTTAGAAGGAGCTCTTCCATCTGATGGTTCCCTCCCCAGATGACCGTCGTGGGCTGGGGGCCTGGGCAGGGAGCTTCATCCGGTCTTCCCCATGGGTGCCAGAGGCCAAGGGAGAGGTTTGGCCATCTTGTGCAGCCTTCGCTGGGCGCCTTGGCGGGGAGCCGGCGCGGCAGTGGAGCCGCTGGTACCCGCAGGGCGGTCAGCTCCTCCGGCTTGTCCCTGAGGGGACTGGGCCAGGGAAACGTGGGTACTTGTTTCCTGGTGTCTTGCTTGTCTGCTCCCCTGCCCCCTGCTGGGACTAGTGCTGGGTTCTGCAGGCCATGGCCCCCTGGTTGCAAGGTGCTTCAAGCCCGACAGGGCAGAGTGGGGGAACCAGATGCCAGAGGAAACAGAAGTGGGCAGCACTTTGTGGGGGGCCCCCTCGCTGTGGAGAGAACCATCCCTGTGGTTTTAATCACAGCCATACTTGGAGGGCCTCAAAGGAGGGCATGTGTGAATTGCGGTTTTCACACTTGACCACGGAAATTTTCAGGCGGGGGCAAGAGTGACTCAGAGTTTGCGGTAAACTGTCCTTGATCACTGTCTGAACTGTTTTTCTTTCACGATGAAGCATTTTTCAGTATTTGGATACATTGATGTAATTCTGTTTAGTGGAGCCCTGGCCCTAGGAAGATTGCCCCTCAAAGGTAACCCGTTATCAGCTCTTCTTGCTGTTACTTCACATCTCTGGCCAAAGTGCAGCAGAGTCCTTCCCACAGGGCCAGGAATCCAGAGCTGAGTACCTAGGCAAAACCCTTTTATTATCTGTATTCTGAATACCTGGGCCCTGCCCAGCTGGCATCCTGACCCTATACCAGTTTCCTGCTTGGCATTGCTCCAACCCAGGCAAGTCCTGCTGTGATGGGGTGGGTGGCCCTGGGCCTGAGGGATGGCAGAGAGGCTTGGCAAAACATGGGGTGACCAGAGCCCCCTGTGTGGGGTGCTCTCAGTGCGACAGAGTCCAGGGCAAAAGGAAGAGGGGTCAGCCATAAGCCAGGGGCTAGCAGATACCGTTTAGAGATTTCCAAAAATTCTAATGGCCTCAGAATTCGAACCTGGCCTTCCAGGTCGTTATAAAGGTGTATTCTAAGTTAAGTGGTTAGACCATGTGTTATATAACAGTCCGTGAGCTTGATTTATCATGCTAAGGTATTTAGTCTGCGAGTCTTCATTTGTAGTCCTTCCCCAGTCACCACAAATAAAATGACTAGACTAAAAGATTTAAGTCTTTTCCCACTTAGACAGCACTTCTAATCCCATCTTCCATATTCAATGCTACAATAATTTTGGTTTTTCAAGTTTTATTTATTTTTATATGAAAGGTAGATTTATAGAGAAAAGGAGGCACAAAGATCTTCCATCTGTTTGTTCACTCCCCAGATGGCCACAACAGCCAGAGCTGAGCTGATGCGAACCCAGGAGCCAGGACCTTCATCTGGGTCTCCCTCACGTGTGGTAGAGCCCAGGTACTTGGTCCATTCCCCACTGCTTTCCCAGGCCACAAGCAGGGAGCTGAATGGGAATCAGAGCAGCCGGGATGTGAACTGGTGCCCATAGGGATACCAGTAGTTGCAGGCAGATAACTAGGCTGTTGCGCTGCTGTACCTGCCCTGTATCATTTTTGTTTTTTTGATCAGACTGCTTATGCTAATCAGATTGAATGTGGTAGAAAACCGAGACACTTCCTTTCTTGTGGAAATTTTTATTTTTCTTGGACCGGTCTGGATATAGCAGATCCCATCCGTGTTGTCTTCCTGGAGATGTCTGTGTGGCGCCTTTTGTCCACAGAGCATCCCCTTCCCAGTGGCCTCCAAGCATCTCCTTTCTCATTCCAGACATTGTCTACCTCAGTCACTTGTTGGAGCTTTCAACCACCATTTTCTGGGTCTTTTCCTTTCCTGACCTGCTCCTTCTTTTGGGAGGAGATGATCTTCCAGAGGCTTCCTCAGAAAGAGAGAGGTAAATTGTCTTAAAGCTTTCCACGGACTAATTGCCGGGCTGGGCATGGGTTTGCTCTTGAGGTGTGGGGCATACCCTGCAGCTTTTCTTGTGCTGGCAAGAAGTCTGAACCGACAGCGATGCCTGTGGAAGACACGCTGTGTCCCTCCGTAGGGCTGGGTTCCCAAGGGCCTGCCCTTCAGGGAGACAATCCTGTACTCCAGCCCGGGTCTGAAACCGAGGTGGAGCCGGAGCCGAGGACTGAGTTAAACCCTGAGACCACACCAGATTCCCTGGGACCACTGCAGCAGTTCCTATCCCTCCTGTGCCTGGGGTGTTTCTGCAAGAAACCATTACGCAAGATGCACAGGTTCCGGCACTTGCAGATGAGGATGCTTTTTCTTGTCCATCATCTCTGTTCTTTCTCTTTCAGGTCCTGTAATTTGCTTGATGATGAACCTGCTGGAATAGTCTCATGTCTTATTTTTTTCTCTCCCACTTTCCATTTTTGTCTTGTTTTTTGGAATATTTTCTCTTCGACTTTATCTTCCCATTTGTCTACTAAATTTTTCGCTATTTTAAGATTGTTATGGCTCTCACTTTATTCTCTAAATACTTTTATAGCATTATTGTAAAGGTTGTAATAGCTTTTTATATACATTTTATTTTTTAATAATGAGAGAAAGAAGTTTCTACCCCCTGACTTACTCCCAGAGCTGGGATTTGAACCTAGGACCTCCAATAGAGCATGTGGGAGCGTGTGGCCAAGGACCACATCCCCTTCCCCGCCCCGTCTTCTCTTAGAACCTGTTGCTGATCGTCTTGTTCTGCTGTTTCTTCTCTCTGCATTCTCATCCTCCAGATGTCCTTTTGCGGCTGTTTTGGTTTTTGTCATCCACATTAGATCCATTTCCTGGGGTTCTTATAATGAACAAAACGCTTGCAGGAAACCCTTGTGCCATGTCCGCCTACATGCATGAGTAGGCTTGTGGGTCCTGAACCTGGCCGGGATGGTTGATGGCACACCTTCAGGTATTCTCTCCTGCGCTGACTCCTGAAGAGGCTGCCCACCTTGGGTCTGGCACATCCAGGTCTGTTTGCCGTACAGCTGCCCCGCTAGTCTAAATCACCACTCATCCATCTGATTTCCATCTTCCTAAAATATTCTGCTTTTGTCTCCTTCCCTATCCATTTCCCATTTTTTTTTTGTGGGTTTATGTCTTAAAAAGCTCTCTGCTATAGTTTTTAGGAGGACAAATTTAGCTGCATGTGTTCAATCTACCATTTTTAACCAGAAACCTTAAATATATTGTATCTCTTTTACAAACGTCATTTAAAAATATATAGACTCAAATGGCCTACTTAGCAGGTTTCTGGGTTCTGCAAACTAGGCTTGTATCAATCGGAGGATTTTATAACACTGTGATATAGTAAGTGACACTTCTACTGTAAGTGCAAGTTAATAAGAGGTTGTTTTTTTAACAAAAATTATTTATTTTTATTGGAAAGGCAGATACACAGAGAGGAGGAGAGACAGAGAGGAAGATCTTCTGTTTGATGATTCACTTCCTAAGTGACTGCAATGGCTGGTGCTGCGCTGACTGAAGCCAGGAGCCAGGAACCTCCTCCAGCTCTACCACACAGGTGCAGGGTCCGAAGGCTTTGGGCTTTCCCAGGCCACAAGCAAGAAGCTGGATGGGAATTGGAGCTGCCAGGATTAGAACTGGCACCCATGTGGGATCCCGGAGAGTTCAGGGCTAGGACTTTAGCCGCTAGGCCACACCGCCGGGCCCCATTTACAATTTTTGCATCTTGCAGTCATGCAACTTGCTTCACCATAGTCATGTGCTTTTCAGGGATCTTTTGCAGTCTCCTCCCTGCACTTGTGCCTCTGATCTCTGCTGACCTGCATCCTCCCGTTGTCATTTGGCCTCTCTAGAATTTCACATAAGTGGAATCATACAATGTGTAGGAGACTGTGTCTGGCTTTCTCCTTGTAGTAAATCCTATGCACAGGTCAGTGGCTCATCCCTTTTGAAGGAGAGGTAACGTGTTCCACCACAGAGATTTGCAGCAGTTTGGTTTTCCATGCACCCATGGACTGTTGAATTTATTTTCTGTTGCTGGCAGCACAATACCACAGG